TAGTCACATTAATTCTACTGATTTACTTTCCTTCACAGCAGGATTTACGACACCGTAATAAAGCGCTTAAATGTCTTCTCTGTCAACAATAAATATTTTTCTGCAAGTGGCTCAAACACCGCAAATTAATCTTCAGTGTGTATTTGAAATGAACTTCATAAACTGTCTAAACAGCAGTGACAAAGGGCTAAACACATTTTCATTAATTCACTGCAAGAAACACTAAATTATTGTATCTTCCAATTAAATTTAGGCGTCGTGGGGCCGACTGGCGTCGAAGTCTTCCAAATATCGCTTTATGCATTATAATTTATATGGTTTTAGTAACGAGGAGTCAAACAGGACAGACGGGAGATTGAAGACAAATACGAATGATATATGTAAAAAAAAACAAAGAACGTATTATGAAAAATATTTTGAGAAAAACTTTCCACTCATATGCTGAAGTGTGAGTTCGATCGATCTTGAATGACCTCGTACTCTGTCCTGTTTCAACGATACTTCACGGAGATAAAAGCTGATTATCTCGGGCACATACTTTGTTGTTACGAAATAGGGCGTATGTGGAAATATACTTCGTCTGTGTCCATGAAATTCACTTCTGGTCTAACAAGCTTGCAGAGACAAAGACGAGGTCTACTAAAACTAGCCATGATGTTAAAGATACACAATGGAGTCCAGATTATCCGACCTGAACGGAGCCGAAGGACGGTCGAAAGTTTTGAATTACACGGAATGAATGTTATAAGAATTGGATCTGAAGATGATTTTGCCCACACTGGTTAAGAACGTCTTCCAGTGGTGGACTTCAGTATAAAAAGTATTAAACCTAGGTTTTCACAGGAATTTATTTACCTCATTTATTTGCAGTTTATTTAACGACGCTTTCAGTATGAAAACTATACAGCGTCAAACGAGAGAAATTGAATAATGAATTATAAAGGTTGTGAAAGGAAGTGGTCATAGTTTAATCCAATGTAACAACCGGGCATCTTCCTGGAGGCACTGAGGAAAACCACGAAAATAACTCAGGACAGACGACCTCAGGGCCGAAATTTGAATACGGGATTTCACAAATACGAAGCAGGAGTGATAACCACTCCGCCATGACGTTTGTGGGGATTTATCAGCCAAACTGCAATCAGCTGTTGATGCAAACCGTTGTACTATGGTGTAAGTAAACATTATTGATTTCCAAACAGACGAAAGATGCCAACAAGTAAATAAACTTTCGACCTTTGATATCTGGTGTCTCTGCTCCTCGGACTTTTATTGCCTTTTGCTCCAATCTATCAGTACTATAGTCCGGTGCAGTTATATTTGAAGTGCGTACTGAAAATCAGCTACGAACAGCTCATAAACTACCAGCAGTATCAGTCCGTTGAGTGTTGTCAGGAGAAGGAACATAAAGAAAGCCTTGTTTGGAATACAGGAGGGTTTAGTTTATCCATAATCCCCCGTCTTCCCGTCTACTATCTAAAAATTCAAAGATTAAAATATAAAGAAACTGTAATTTTATCTGCTGATTTGTATGAGTGTGAAACTAGCTCCCGTCCTAAATGAGGATGTTTGAGAACAAAATTATTTTCATATAATACTTTAGATATATGTTACTGAAAATTGTTTAGTTTCTCTAGCAAGTCGGCCTAAATTCCTGAAAGTGTTTCACCAACTCATCCTTCGGGAGTGACAGCCTTCTAGGACGTCACACGTTGATTAGTCTCGTAGAAACTGACATACGTTTCAGAAGTTCGTACTACTTTCATCATCAAGGCGATGAGTCAACTTCTACTAGAATACACGGGCGTAATATCCCAGAAGACGGCCATCTTCACATTCGCCGCCGTGAGAACCTGAAATCTAATCGTTTTGTGCCTCTCATATCTGAATTTCCACTTCGTGCTTTACCGATGGCCTTTGCCAAATTCATTTCTTTCCTGTCCCTAAATTTCCACACCTAAAGATCTTGAATCGCTGTTTCACCTCCCTATATTTAGTTTGGCTGGCAATACCGCCAAGAGACATCTACCCAATCACCCTCAACGTGAGTTCGGTCTATTGTCAAATTTACTAAATTAGTCAAGGCATTCCAAAGAACGCTAAACACTGTCCAATTCGACGTGTAGTAAAATTGGTACTGAGTAGTGTACAGGCTTAAATATTTCTTTTTTGTCTTATGAATACATTTCCTTTTGCTCTAGCTGAAGGATCGATCGAATATTTACTGATGTTAATAATACAAGTATAAAAATACAGTTTATAGCATGTTTCGGTCGGTACCAGCCATCATCAGGTAACTTTGAACCCAATCTAGAAGTACTGAAAGCAGGCTGTCATATACATTAATCTTAACAGAAGAAGAGTTCAAAACTAAGTTTAACAACGTATTACTTATAAACAAGATGCTGTACGGATATATTTTAAAAATGAATAAATTATAAAAGATAATATCCCAGACGGCTAATGCAGAAGCTGTGATGCTCAACACTTACCAAATTGGATTATACTCACAGGTACAATAATGTTGCGATATATCGCATTAAAACATTCCAGAAAAAAGAGTGTGAATTATAGAATACGTTACTGCAAACGTCAATCACTTAACGTTTTGAAAAACAGCGCCTAATTTATAAGCTACACTGGAATAAAGCAAACAATGGTTGCCAAGAGAGCAGGTATATTGGTGTAGGAAAGCAAGCACGTCGACTGACGTAGCATTCCCATTGGCAGCCATGCACGAGAACAAATATGTACGCGCACTAAAATAGACTATGTCAAACTGGCACAACAAATAACATTTGTTAAAAGAGTGTAAGGGGTAATAATTAAACCACGCAACAAGAATTTGTATAGGATAAATTCTTCCTGCCAAACAAATATATGTTCTGCTGGATACCTTGCTATAACAAAAAATATAATAAAGTATGTGACTGCACTGTATTCGGCAAAGTACTATGTAGAGCTGATAAAAGTGAAAAAAATAAATATAATTACAAAAAAAAATAGTTAAAAGTAAAACCGTAAATGGGTTAGTCCCCAATGGAAATCTCGTACAAAACGAAACTGTAATTTTAAACAAACCATTATGACTAATACTAAGGTTGCTCCGATATATTATGCGTATTAGTTAATTAAATCTGACATTTTTAAACCAACTACCCACGTAGTTCTAATCGTCTTTAATTATGCAGTTTCGGTGCGTACATTCCTCCTCACACTTCGCTTTGCTGCTACGCTATGCTAATCGAACGGTACACGTGGAATCGCCTACGATGACTTGGCATTTCAACTCGCTATCGCAACCCACAAAGATCTTGCAATTGTCTGAACACTGTTGCAATATGGATAGGTCGAAACCAACTCTCTGAAATTACAAAAGCAATAGTAGTAGTGGCAATAGCATCATTGGCGTGCTGCCAAATAGTTTGAAGGCCAGCTACATTACTCAGAATCAATAACGCAGAAGAAAGGTGGTGATTAATACTAACACATACAGCAAATAATATCGCAAACAAATAAGAATATCTGTGAAAAATAAGGCTAATTTCAGCGATTTTCGTCACAGAATGGCAATTTGTGGCCCACTGAATTTATTTGTGGGAATTTGGTTTTCAAAATAAACAACGATTGCTTTATTAAACATCATTCGTTCATCCTTGTCTTTGTAACAGTCTTGCTGTGCGTTTTTAGAAGTAAAAACCAACTTTCAGAATAGCTTATAAACGAGTTTCGATAGGCCGTCAATGGAAACTATGGATCTGAAAAAGCAAACACAAATTTCTATCAGATTGCTATGTTTTATTTAGTTTCATATTGTGATTCGAATGCTTTGTTATTTTCTGTACGCCACGCAAGAAAAAGAGAAACGCTGGCCGAATTAATAACATCTAGACATTGCTTTGGGGCCGATTAAACTCTTTAGTGAGCCATATTTTTCCCACCCCTGTACTAAACCAAACAATACTATCTACGTTCAGACGGGTATAGATAGCCATGTTCTTGAAGGGAAGCTGCGTTACAGGATGTTTTATAAATTACGAGTTCAAAGGATGTTCTTAAGGGACGCTACCCGACATTTGCCAGAGACCTTGTCATCGTACCTTCCGTCTAATGCAGAGGGCATACGTTTCTCCGTATGTTTCATAAATGAAGCTAAATAACGTATTCTAAATACGGAAGAGTGATGCAGATTTCGAATAGGGCTTACAAAGAACGGCTGGAGTAGCACAAATAAAATTGTAAATAGTACTTCTGTGACTTACAAAATTGGACTGCCAAAGAAACAGTTATGGGGAAGGATGCCGAAATCGTACCATTTAAAAGTTATTTATTCGCAGACGCCTCATTACAAAGTTTTTTCGACATTCATAAATATGTTGCATATAAATCGACATCTTGGTCATCTTCGATGTCTTTAAGTGTTTAAGTTCGTCTCTATAGCGATTTCCCAAACACTTGCAAGTGGTATGAACAGTGCACTGGTTTCCTGAATCGTACTTCTACAAGGAACTTATGGGAGAAAGAAGACTGCGAACACATTGTATACGATTCGAAACTTAGTTCAGCTATTTGAAATGCAAGGCGCCTCACATCACTGATCGTCAGCCCGTACAAACATTCTTCAAGACATAAAATGTTTTATCAGCTCATCTTCCACTTTTGGTCCAAAGCCGTTTCTCTACTATTCAGTGCTTTCGAACTAATGAAGCCTCTTTTCAGTTTGCCTTTTAAATGTCGCTGAAAAGTTAGTTTGGAGAATGGACATTTCTCATAAACTGGTTAAATTAATTTATTGTGTTCTTCGATGGCTTTCTGCAAAACTTTTGGGTCATTACGAGATGATTTTGCCCATGCATCCTTGCCCAATCATATACCAGTATTTAACATTGGTACGGTTTAGGAAACCAGTGACTATAACATTATGACGCAAACCTAACCTTAAATTTCTTGTGTGAAATCATGTGCTAAATGAAATAGTTTCTCAAGGTTATATGACTTACCACAAAGCAGCACCACGTGTGATAATTCCGATCCAACAATCAAATATCGATTTAGAGAAAAGAACAAATTATAACATAGATTTGGTCACCATTTTATGAGTCACGTTAGTATCATTCACCCCGTACCATTCTCACAGGCACTACTGCTGTACCATAGATATTCATGCGATCAGCACTTCACCCAGGGCATGGTCGATCTTGAGAAATCGGTACAATTTCGGCAACTTTCCCAAAATGTAAAATCCGTATTCAAAATATGTTGAAAGTTACAAGATTATCAATAAAAATTGAAAAAAAACACGAAAGGAGACAATGGGTTACCGAAATTGACACCGTATTATAAACCCAAGGGCAAAATACGCATATTCCTGAAAGAGATAAATGAGAGTCAATGGAACAGACTTCATAAGACTAAAAGTCTACTAATTTATGAAGAGTGCATGCTTCTGGGTAGTGTATTGTCTCTGGTACTCATTAGCTTGACAGCTATTGAAACTCTGACCATGCATTTCAGTTAGCCACTACTGATTTTCTCTGTCAACAGCACATCAGTAATTACAATGAATGCCAACACCAATGAGGAAAATAAAATAGCAAATAATGCTCTTTGAGCTCTTTTTATTTTCCTGTCCTATTGGCAAACAGTGATAGAACATTGACCTCTTTCACCCAACCTCTTCCAATACACAATGCAGTAGGTTGTATAAATATTGCATCAGTACAGCTTTGTCCAGTAACTGATGAATAAACCCAGTACATGCTGCAAAGATGGAACAGAGTAGAATATTACGGAATCCACTGCATAACATGCATACTTCTATCCACATGCTAGTTGGTTTCAGGGGGCAGGTCTAATTATCAGTTCTGATATTAGTATCAGTAGGATTAGTCCTGCATGATAACATTCTAGGCAAAAGATCTGCTCCCATTCAAATCAGTGGTCATTTTATGCCTTCTTGATTTAATTTGATTGCCTAATAATTCATGCTTTTGGAAATATTTCTCTCCATCTTAGCAGATCAATAAATTGTCTGCTGCTATAGAACCTATCACTCTCAATGTCCCATTGCACTCTGGTTTATGTCTAGAAAGTTGCCTCTTTCCATGATGTTTCCCCAACTGAAATTTTATAGGCGCGACTCTGGTTTATGTCTAGAATGTTGCCTTTCCTTGACGTTTCCCCAACTGAAATTTTATAGGCGCTTATTTTCCACATTAGCTACATCAATCAACTAAACAATTATGAGTTAAGTGTACAATTATATAATTCTCTCCATTTCTATGTTACTTCAACTACCTCAGGTTTTCTTGTTGGTGTGAGATTAACAAACTTCACCATAAAAATACAGTACGTCACTAATTGTCACAAAAGGCCTTGGACTTGCAAGGGTTATTCAGCATGACCTTGGTATTTTTTTTCCACGAGTTCTAAACTTCATCCAAGACTGGGGCCACATTCAACATTTCTTACTGACTTGTGGGCTGCAAGGATAACAATTAATTGAAATTCCATGGCAATTTTTTAAAAATGATCCTACAATGGGCCTACTAATAATTTTCTTTAAAAATCAGTTATTAGTGATATATATGACACTGCTTTTGCTTCAGTAATCTTTCAAAATCAAGTCTTGACATTCTGTCACACTTCGCCCACCAAGTATGCTAGTACAACACATACTAGTTCTTGGTCTTACACTCCTGAACAGGCTGATCAACTTGATGACAGCGATTTCTGCTGCCAAATACTTACATTAATAAAGCATGTTTTATGAAATCACATATTTTTAATCATACAGGTTATACAATGTTACAAAAGTGCATACAGGCCACACAAGACACAGGAATAATACTTTTAAGAAAATATGCATTAGAAATGATGGATAAATGTGGCTTTACATCCTCAAACAGATGGCTGGCTGAAAAGGTAGTGAAGTAGACATTATTTTCATACACGTACGTATGACGAAAGTGACCACAGGCCAACTAGGTTGTTTCAGTTTCCAATATTAACCCAGTTTTTACATGTGCTTCACAGTAAAATTTTAATTTTAAAGCTGAAAATGTATTTACAAATAAACTGACAGAAAAGTGGGGGGCGAAAACTTCAAAATAACATGTTGAATGTTACACTGTTCATCTCCACACAAGTAATAGTTATGGACAATGTATTTTATTCTCACTTATGTCCATTTGTATGTAATTTTGAAAGAATTTTTATGAAACAAAATACAACAAACCCTCACTGTTGGCCTGTTCTCATGGAGAGTATATTCTAGAAAACCCCCACAATAAACAACACACTGATATCCAACAAAGTTTAAACCTTATGGGAAAAAAATAGGGTTATGGTAACCAAAGAAACATGATACTTAATATGTATAATTAATGGTCAATAAACGTGGAAGGGCAACAACGAAACAGTAAGGGACCTATGCCATGGTGCACAAATATTACAATTTTTCTGTCAACAATCAAAGCTGTAATGCAAAAACCCCAAAACCAAGGAGGATCATTGTACACTAATATGTGTACTGACAAACTGGTAAAAATAATCAGACTAATATACTGGTAGTAAGAGTTCATCTCCACACACAATCAAAAACACTTAGAAAGACGCCTTTAAAATGCTTTATTCATTCATTTTATTGTTTTAAACATGTACAACAATGATCCAAATATTGGCCAATACATATCAACATCTGATACTTCAAAGGTGCAGAATGTAATGGAATAAACAGACTTTACACACAATGGTGTGCTGTTCTTTGTTGTTTCTTTGTTAAGTGAACACTGCTATGCCATGAAATAATGCAAAAAACCCACATACTCCACTTTTCCACGATACAAACAAATGGCAGTAAACTATAACCTTACATAATTACAGTTTAGTCAAACATATATGTCAACATTTTTTTAGTGTTAACCACAGACACCCAGAACTTTCTGTGAATCTAAATCAACTATTTAATCAAGTGATATTACACCTTACACAATTTCCAAAATAATAATTTCCTAAAAGTAATCACAGTTACTAAAGCTAAGTGAAACTACTGGCTGTTCTATGCAAGACAGAAACCCAATGCCCTGTTTAAAACAATTCCCCATATAGGAGCTTCTTATCAAACAGGAATTCCCCAAGGGCACCGTAGTTGTCCAACATCTTGCCCAGTATAGATAACTTATGAGCAAGATCCTTCTGGCCTTTATACTGTTCTTCTAGGAAGTCTCCAGAGAGGTAATCAACCAGCTGTAAGCAATACATAACCTTAAAGAACTTGTAGGTTAGCCACTTACAATGCACAGAAATATTCAGATTCTTTAATGTTGTGCTAAAATCAAAACATGGAGGTTGTTAGCTGTAAGTTCCTAAATACATTTAACATGGCTTAGAGTGGGTGTGAACCCCTTAGGACTTTAGAGAATTTACCAAGAAAAATGCATAATGGTAAACCTTAACGTATGGCCCATTCCAATTTACTTTCCACAACAAATCTATATTTAAATATCACAGGCAGTAACACAGGAAATGGAAAGAAATCATGTAATAAAACATACATGGTAATCATTGAAGGCATCCTCCTCCTTAGATGGATTCTCGCAGACAGTGATGATGTCACGAATCTTGCTTGTAACATTTGACTCTAGATTCAAAGCATCCGTGAGGGCTTCAAAACCAGTATCCCATCTCTCATGCAGGGGCTCCTGAACGAAATCGATGTGTAACACGGTTAACTTACATAGGTAACGTAACCAACTATGTGTACACATAGACGCTTATTTCAATTAGAAATGTACACAGTTTGATTTACAGCATACATCTTCTGGTACCCATAAATGTGTATGACTTTACAAAACTTTCTGTATACATTTTAAAAACAAAAGCAAAAAGCAAATAACACAAAATATCATATGCCATTTTTATAAATAAGCAGATACAGTGTTATATGGCTGCATATTCCCTATTTCCCAGACAGAAATTACAAGTTACATCTGGCCTACTTAATTCGTAAGAAAAAATTTATAAGCTTTTTTCTCACCTTCCTGCAAAATAACCTTTCCTAGCCTTCACACATAAATTACCAATTTTTTAAAAGGTGTTACAGCACCATTACAAAATAAATAAAATTAAACTCTTGAATAAATCATTCCACAATAGCCCAGTACTAACTTTCAAATGACTTTTTTCTTACTTTTGATTTGTTTTATTTTCTTACTATACATGGGTACCTAAAAAATCACACCAAAAATAAATATATAAGGCTTTAAATATTCATGTCTGTAATGACAGGTTTCTACTACTGTAGGAACCTTTTCTTCAACCAATCACCAACAGTACTTATGACGCCTATAATATAACCTATCCCAGAATGGGATGGAGGAATCAAACTGCTTTTATCAAAACATTTCTTATTTGGCAATTTCATCCTTTGTAAGAAAATCCTGCACTCTTCACCTACACAGCTGTTTTAAAATGTAGTTGCATGGCCTTTCACATATAAAAATATTACTGTTTTATTTTACTGCGCAATTAGATACAAAGCTAATTGTATGCATTTCTTGCACTAAGTGCACAAAACATTATGAGATAATGTTTACATGTTTCATCTCTGAAACTCCTAAATTAAATAAGACAAAACTTCTCGACATTTATTATGATTTCAAGTTTTCATGGCAGTGAGTCTTCTGGGTTGTAGCGCCATGTAGTCTGGCAGAAGTTTACAGAGTTTCAGAAGTCCTTGTCTCCATCATCAGGTGTCATTCATCGCCCTGATAATGGAGGCAGCAAGGACCTCTGAAACGTTGATAAACTTCTACCAGACTCCACATTGCTATAATGCAGAAGACAGCCATCTTCTTGATATCTGATTCAAATCATCCCGCATAACACTTACTTAACACAAAGCCCAAATTTAAACGAGTCAGTTTCTTTCAAAAGCACCTCAATGGAATTTTTACAGAGCACAAAAAATAGACCTCACAGAGATCAATCCCATTTACTTTAAAAATTGTTAATATCGTAAATATTTAACAGTACACAATAAAAAAATTTCTGAGTATGCACTATAGCTTTTGTATGATTAACTTTCTGAAAATATACCAGAATTGGTTTGTGAAGTAAATAAAATCATAAATAATTCATTTTTTAAATACAGAATGTTTTAAATGCAACCATAACTACAGCAGTTGGAACCAAATCATGTGTATGTGCTGACCACTCCAACCCCTCTAATCCCCTCACCCTTTACTTCTAATAGGCATAGAACACATCTGTTCTGTACTATATAAGAACCCCTCCACACACAAAATGAAAAAACCAACAGTGATACTGAATTCTTGCCGCTGTATCCTGTTGTTGCAGCTGATACACTGCTTGATATCGGTATGGCCATAGTTTCAGCCGTCACAAAATGAACAGATAAACGCTTCCTGTGTCCCTAAATTTTGTTACCAGTTGGTGGTATAAAGTAAAGTTTGCCCCCCCTACATGCCGTAAAGGCACTTGGGGTGAGTGGAGGTATAGCATTGAGGAGTCTGAGTGGGCCCCAGAGCCGGTCTGGACGCAGAGGCTAGAGGAAAAATCCTCTGTCTCCGTCGGGGATCGAACCCTGGCCGTCCAGCCTGTAGCTAGTCACTATACTGACTGAGCTATAGTTGGTGGTGTAATGCTGTCTTATTCAATGCTTCCTTGTCGGGATAAGCGGTGCTAAATGCTTCATGAACAGCAACAAATGAATTCAACGTGCAGTAATGTACAAAAACAAACACGTTCTACTCATGGGTACACCATGTCTGAACCTGCACGACTTTTGCAGCCTAGAAACAAAGGTGGCATTCACTAACATCACTGTGGAGGTCGAAACAATCTATTACACCAGGGTGGACCTGCATCTCGTTTCATTTTTAAATGGAACACCCTACATTTATAACACTCATTTTCATTACATATTTTTACAGTAGATGCATCAGATTACATACCGGGTTCCGAATGAGTGTGCTGATATCAGAAGTAAGTTCACCACGCATGAGCAAGTATGAAATAATTTTTATGGCATGTTCACGTTCTTCACTTGCACTCTCAAAGAACATCTTGGCAAAACCAGGTCTGTTTACTGTATCCCTCGAAAAATGGGCACCCTGAAATAAAACAAAAATACCCTACTACATTTCACTGAATCGCTGACTGCAAGATGAGCCCCTACTACACACAGCCTCCATTTACCACAAGCTTCTTCTTCTTCTTCTTCCTGTGGCTCTACAACCCAGTGTGGGTCTTGGCCGCCTCTTCTGGATGTTTCTTGATCATTAAATATTCCTTTTACTGCCTATGTGGAGGATAGGGGCATCCTTTCAGAGGTTTCTAATCTATTTTCTAGACTTCTCGGATGACTGATCAGCCCATAACAAGGCCTCTACCAAAGACACGGGTGAGAAATGGCCGCTCAATTTTGCTTACAAAATATCTCATTCATGCTCGTAAGGTTCTATTATATGATGTAAATATATGACATGAGATCACGAGCTTTACTTCCCCTCTGAAGGAAGTCACGATTTGGATTTTATAACCTTTCAAAATCTGTCGACCTCGGCCGGCTTTGTACCCACAAACCTTGGGTCCAGGGGCGAACACGCAACCACTAGACCACCGATATTTAGGGATGTAACTATTTTAAATTTAAAATAAAATTACATTTAACAAATAATGAGACAACTGACCATTGCCATGTAAGTGAGTGCAGCGTTCAGCTCCTCTTGTACCTGCGCCCTCATTTTCAAAGTGCAAGGCTCCGCCATTGTGATCCACCTCTTTGGAATTTCAACTGCAGGAAGCTTACCTGTAAATATACTGAAACATTACTTCTCAATTATGGAAGCTAAAGAGTGCAGAGGAATGATAAAGATACAAGACACCCAAAATAATAATTTCAACTCACACATTGCACATTGAATTAATTCAATGAAGCCTAAATTCCATATAAATAATATTTAAATATTCAGTCCATACCTCAAAGAAAACAATGTGTTTCCATTACAATGGTCAGATGGTTAATGCTGTTTAGGGAAATTATCAGACAAAAATTATTATTTTCAGAAAAGCTATAAATCCACTGTGAGAGATCATTGAAGCAGGTGGTACATAAAATTACCACTTGTTTTTAAGGATTAAGAATACTGTTTATTCTAAGTGTTTTCATCTATTCGTATCAGTAATAGCTTATTCTTAACACTGGACATGACATATTATCAAAACCATTATTTCAGCAGTGCGGACAGGTGTGAAAGATCGTGCAGGGTACCACATAACAGGCTGGAGGACACATAATGGAAAAGGTGAAAAAGAGATGCAAGTTTTGTTCATGAGAACCTAACAAAGCATGTAACAAACCATGGTTACAAACCTTCATTAAAATCAACGGACACTTGGGAGATTGGGGACAGCAAATGAATAATCTGTAAAGTGGAATTGAGATCCGAGGTTCTCATAACATGCATCAGAACCTGGGGTAGTTCAGTCAGTAGTGCCCGACTACAAACTGGGTAACCAGGATTCGATCCCAACAGGGGCAGAGGATTTTTCCTCTAGCCTCTGCATCGAGGCCCTCTTTGGGGCCCACCCAGCCTCCTGTCAAATGGATACTAGGGTACTTTCCCAGGGGTAAGTGCGGCCACAGCGTGTGATGCTGACCACTCACCCCTACCTAGTGTCGAGGTTAGAATGAATAGGACCTATACCTCCTGTCCCACAGAGCACCTACATGGCATACAGCCGGGCAGCTTCGAAACAGTTAAAAGCTTTCACTCAATCACAAAAAAATCCTGTGCCCTTTTTTTAGTAATTTTAGCACAATGTATTAGTTTGAAGGCCACATGTTCAGTGGATATCTCTTTCCTGAAGCCAAACTGTTCTGGGACCAATACGTTGTTAGTCTGCATATGACGACATAACCTTCTCAAACACTTCACAAATGGTAGTAAATAATGAAACTGGCCAGCAGTTTGTCATACTAGCCGTCACCTTTCTTGTACAGTGGTCTCACTACTGCCAATTTAAGACAGCAAATACCACTGCTTCAAAATATGGAAAATTATATTCATGTGCAAATGAAGTGAATCCGATTCTGATGATCATTTCAAATTGTAATTATATAAAAGATAATTATGCACACTCATTTTCTGACATAACAATTTAGCCATTTAAAAAATGGCCTCATACTTACGTACATTGCAATTCTGCGGTCACAGAATGGGCACATATGGCAGCAATGACAAAAATTATTGCTTGCATGATTTTCATTATTATTTTAATTTCTTTCCACGGAGAGACTGAAAAGACACTAGAAACTGGCGTCGCTACCAAGTTAGGTTACGTAATGACGTATCAAACGCAAATTTAATAAAACAATGAACACTTTGAAAACGTAACAATGAGACGAAACTAGTGTAAATATATTTGTACACACTCGCTCTTTTGTCAACCTTTACACACACTGGCGTAGAAGGCGACCCAACCACTCAAATGGAATATTCGCTAGATAATGGCTACTATGCAATCATCTGCCGTACAGCTCATACTCAAAAATGTATGCACATTTCCCTACTGCGCAGATCCATGTTGCGTGCGCACTTGGCACGTGATGTTAAGTGGAGCTGGTGATGGTGCAATATTCTACAACACAAAGGGCTTCAAAGGTTAGGATTGGTAGTTTCTTAGCAGTCGAAGAGTGGTTCTTCTAGAGGAAGAATATTTGTTCGTGTTGAGCGGCAATAGATCAGGTTGAAGGCCTACTTATTGTTGGTAATTGTATTTCATAATACTCCACATTTCATATAAGTAAAATGTAGTGCATTGCGCCTATTTATGAATGGAACGTAATTTGTGGATGTTGATTTTCAGGTTCATCATGAAATTCTTGGTGGTTTTGTTTGGCCTTCTGGCTGTTAGCTCCGCCGAATTTTGCTACAATGATGTCGTTCGCAGTTGTAAACAGAAAGGTATCAGCCATTGACTATTACGAAGGTGGTTATCATTAGAACAGGAAGTCCACATACCAAGAATTTTTTGCAATTTATACATTTGTTGGTTTTGAAAGTCTGAATATAGTTCTTTTTTTGGCGATAGTTCATATGCTTTACTGTCTACAGAACAAATAAATAGTAATAATACCCATGAGCAACAGAAAATTCTTGTCAAGTGCAATATTTTCTTTTTGTCATTATATTTGAACATATTCGCGTATTTTGTGGTAAAAAAAAGTTTACAGCCTGAGATGGTATTACTTTTTTGTTATTTTAATGCTTATTCCATCCACAGTATTATTACTTTGTTTCAGCTGCTGTATTGTTGGAGGACTGTCATGCAAAGTATGGAGCAATTGATGCAGTCTTGCTAAATTTACAAAGCTATGTAAATGATCACATTTCCCTCAGCTTTGACTATCTGTTGACGGTGTGTATTCTATGTGTATATAGAGTGTCTTATATTGAAATTGAAAATTCGTTTTGCAGATGATAAAAACAAATTTAAAATGGATTGAAACTTTAACGCATTTTGCATGTTTTTGTTCCATACAGTCAACTCACTTTGGAAACCATGAGAAGAGTCGTGAGGGCTTTGAGAAGCTATTCCGGAAACTTTCTGACTCGACCTGGAATGATGCAATTGACCTGATCCAGTACATTACTAAGCGAGGAGGAGTCATGGACTTTCAAGCACGCAAGACTAAAGCGGAGGTAAGAAGTGTATGGTCTCATACTGTATAAAATTAAGTCTGTCTTAATTGCCATATATCATATGGGAATCTACTTAAATCTAATTGAAAGAGAAACATCTTACAAATACAATAAGAGCAAAAAATTTTGTATTAAATTAATTATGTGACAGTATTTTAATGGTGGCATAATAGCGACAGCATCGCTATTTATGTGCGCACACATTTTTATACTTATTCTGAGCACCATACCAGTAAAATATACATGGATTTAGTATACTGCATTAACTGTAAGTTTTGTATATCACAATTTAAAATTTTCAGCCTCGGAATGTTTATGAGCTGTATGAAATTGAAGCTTTGGCTCGAGGTTTGGATACCCAGAAGACGCTTGCTAAGTCAGCACTCGCTATCCATAGTGAAGCTACAAGACGCTGTGAAGGCTGCCATGATCCAGAGGTCAGTTTGTTAATGAAATGTCAAAGGAATTAAAGAGATGCGTGGCTTAAGATGCGAGTTTTTTTAACAGTGACTCCAAAATGTTTGAAACTCATCATATAATGATATGGCTAATCATTCAAGATTTTAATGCTACACAGATTATTAAAAAATTTTGTATGATTTTATACTTCATGCTTACATTGTTCACAGGTGTCTTCATACCTAGAAGAAAAGTTCATGCATCGTCAGGCCGAAGAGGTGCGCAAGTTGGCAGGTTATACTAGTGACTTGAAACGTCTTCTCTCTGAAAATAACCAGGCTAGCCTGTCACTTTTCTTGTTCGATGAATATCTCCAGAAGGCTGTCTAAGATCTGTTAACCAGCCCTTGGAAATTTAAATATCTTCTAGTTCTAATCAGAATGATTAGTAGTAGTCAAACTCTGGGTATGGTTTAGAATATTAATTAAAGATAAAACTTCAATGGGAAAGTTATTGTAACCATGTGCTGTTAGGCACAACTCAAAAGATTGCAAAAGTGTGGGATGCATTCCTTTGAGTGAGTGAGTGTTAAGATTAAAAGAAGTTTTGTAAAGTATGTACGTATAATATTCAGTCCTCAGTATCTTACCTGTGAACAGTTTAATTGTATTTTATTTGATTACATGTGAATAAAACTTTAGATTCTGTTGTATTTGAAATTCATGGAATTACATATTTCCAAATGTGCCCAGTTAAGCAATTACCATGAAAGCAAAGGTTTTTATATGTATAATCTTGAACAGAGGGGAAACTACATGTCTGTGGAACTGTGGCTCCTCAGGGCTCATTGTCCATCCCCTAGGTGATATACGAGTGGATATGGACCAATGGTAGAAATGGCTGGGGGTTTGTCATGCTGACCACACGTCACCCTATATCTGGTTGGATTATCGTTCACCTCTGCTTAGCCATGTGAACGTTAGGCCAGCAGCCAGCTAGTCAGCTTTGGCTCTCAGAGTGCTCTTACGCCACGGATATGTGTAGGGGAGACAATTTCTGTGGAGGCTGGAATTACTTGAGTGGGTTCACAATATATATAGTAAACATCAATATGATTTAATTTTGGAATTATGCACAATAATTGACCATTATGGTAGCCCATACAAGAAATACAAACTGATCAAATATAACTGGTCAAGGCACAGAGTTCTGCATTTTGAAGATAAACATACAGATAGTCCATTTGTAGAATACTGGTCTCACCACACACACAAATGATTTCCTCATACATACATACTTACATAATCCACTATAATAAATGTCCGTGCATTAAATATCCTTACCAAACTTTTGACACTACTCCAACAAAAATAACAGTACGGAAAGCATCCTCAAGTTTATTTTAGACTAATTATAGTTCAATGAAAATAAGAGGCATTCTAAAGCCTATACTATTTTCATGAAATAAATGACCTGTTCCTTACTTTGACAAGAATCATTCCATTATCCACACTGTAACATGTTTGTTAGACATTAGAAATCTGTTCCATGATTAAAAAAACATATTTATATATGATTATAAAATGCAGAATGTCATCTGAGTCTTATCAGGAACCATCACAATGTTTGAGATTACCTACAACCTTGTTTCCATTATAAATCCATAAACGTTTCACAACTCTAAAATATTTCCGATATTGAAACTGTATAGCTCCAGCTTAGTGCATATTAATAATGCTGTGTCATATTGCAGAGTAAAGTTTAAACCATGAACATGTGTCACTACCTCAATCTTCCTAGAATGATTCACACCCCAGTTTTTCTAATTTTGCTTCATATGGAAATGTCTTTCTTTACTCTTTAGTTCAAGGATATGATAACCCTCTTTACATTCCAATATATTACTTTAAGTAGATATATGCATACAGACATTAAATTGTTTCAGCTAAGGAATCAGTGTTTGTATTGGAAAAATCTATACCAATATTACTACTTGTATCTGATTTAATATTTCTCTTTGTTTACCTGTGTGCATTACTAGTTCATTCAACTGGTATAGTCAATAGCATCTTAAAGTAGTCATGCTGAACTTGGTATATTGGAAATAAATCAGTTCTAAACATAATGTAGAAATCTGTTTGTTATTTTACAGAAATTACATGTAAATATAAAAATATTCATAGAAGATGACCGTCTTCTGGGTTGAAGCGCCGTATAGTCTGGTAGAAGTTTACCAATGTTTCAGAGGTCCTTACTGCCTCCATCATCAATGAGTACTCATCACCCTGATGATGGAGAAAGCAAGTACCTCTGAAACAATAAACTTCTACAGACTACACGACCATCTTCGGACTCAATGCCATGAAACCTCAAATCCTACAAAATATTCATAATTTGAAAAAATAAGCAGGACACAAACCAAAATTCCTGCTTCATTAAATGAGTAACAATTATCTTCATTGTTTTCCTTCTGATTAGTCTGTTAGAATATGCAGCTCCTCCATCAATGTCTCAGAGAATCCTTGCACTGGTAAAACATTCCTTCTTTTCTTTCCTATCGCATATATCTTGCAATTCTTTCTTTCCTTAAGTTATGGATTTCCTAATGCCTCACAAAAGTTTGAAGATGTCTTCCTTCACCAAACTGCAAAGAAACTTTTTGTACATCTGTAAAATCAAAACACAAGTGAAGGCATGTTCAATGAATGGCAGTAGATAAATGAAGGATTACAATCTCATACAACCTTAATGTTATTATCATTCAATAGGATGATACAATTTAGTCTAAAACAAATCAATGTTATTCTAAGAAAACAAATTCTCAAGGATTCACTGAATTCATTATACACAGTCCTAATGAACTATCTGCATGACTGCTTATATACAAAATGTGCACAGTACACAGCACGGCCATAAAGCATTTAATCAATAAATAACTGGAACAGTTGATCCAAAATGATCAGGCTTCCTGTGAAATTCTCTTTTTACATGTCAAACATTCTAATATTCCTTTTAACCTATTTTACTTAAAGCAACTTTAGAAAATCATGAGACTGATATTTTAATCAACTGTGTTAGATTCCATAGTTAGTTCAAAACTGCTTTAACCACTTGCATTTTGATAACCGCATCTGCAAGCAATACACTGATATTTTCTATTAAATGCTAAATTTTAAACAAAATATGCATACTGCATGACATTTGGTACGTTTGCTGGTATGCAGAAAGAAGATCAACAATGACATTGTCTTATAATGGCAAATCAACATATAACACTTTTCTTTCCATTGCTTCAACTGAAACAAAACTGTAACAGAGAATAAAGTTCACAAATTGAGTGGTAATAAAATACGTTCAGATTGTCCCAGTTTGCAAAATCACTATTACAGATAAACACTCCAAAATCACACGTATGTTCATTATCTTACTTTTGTAAGAGCAACTCAATAGATGCAAGGTTTGTGGATATCAAATGAAGACTTCCCAAAATAAAATATTCTATATATCTCTGAAGACATAACAGCCAGTTTGATTTCAGTGCACCTCTCAGTATAAATAATAAACTGGTTACATTCTTTATAAATCCATAAGCATTATAAAGAGGGTGGCAAAGAAAATAATTTTTGTCAGTATATGCAGGAAGCATATATAAATCATATGGAAATAAATTAACCAGATTTAGAAATAATTTCTTACATATTCCAGAATAATCTGGCACATTTCGATCACTCTTATCTGGAACATAAATGTTTAAATTCAGCTGTAACAAGTTTTATATTATTTTTAATTCACTTTTTAATAAACTTTGCTGGAAGTATATCATACACTTGTATAAATTTTTGTTATAAAGATGTTGATTTCTTAATATTCCATACACACTAACTAGTTATACTGTATAATTTCTCATTCTACTTACCCTAATTAACTCATTTGTGAGCCTGCAGTCATATCAAAATTATGCAAGAGCCAAAATCTCAAGCCTATGAAAAGAGCTGATGTGGTTTTGCATTTATTATTAAATATGTCAACACCAAGCCTCATTCACACATCATTCACTAAGTAATTAAATATACAATATATTAAATACAATGGCAACCCATAAATAAAATCAAAGGCTCCTGAGGCTCACATTCACAATAATCACCTCCAAATGTTAAAATAATTTGTTTTCCCTCAATACGAAAAAGAACTACAAACCATAACTGCAAATTAAAAAAAGTTCAGTCCCAAAAAAAGTAATATATATATATATAACTTAACTACATAACAGTGGCATGTATTACATCATGTTTGCACAGACCTGCAACATTCAAGCATGATATACTTTTAATGGGACTGTACAACCACTGAAATTAACCCAATCTATTATTACAGCAAGCATTGATCCCATTCCTAAATTCTATTCATCCATTACATGATATGTCACCCTAAACCTACAGTATACAAAATATAACTTAATGCTTGGGTATTCTATTTGGTATTTTATAGTCTTATCTTAAATAATAATATAATTATCAGTACAATGAAAAGTTATTGGCTATTAGCTGGCTAAATTGTAATAGCAACAACTATGATTACGTAATAACTCGAGCATACTGATGCATTCAAGTTTCCCTACTAGAATCAATGTACCAACTGAGGAAAGAGAAAGCAATTGTAACAGAGCAGGGTGTTCACAAAGTAGCTTTACAAATTTCATTAACTATAACAGAACTTCTGTCACTTGTAATTAGTAAAGCATATTAAATGGATAATATAAGTTCATCTTTTGTCAGCTGTAATACCACATTCCATCACCACTAATGCTCCAGTCATACAAAACAAAATCTGCCACGCAAGTTCAGGGAAGATTTTGTACATATTACAGCAAAAAACATCCTCATAGACAGATGATTTACACCAACCTGACACAAATGTGTGGTAAAACTGTACCAATCAGATGTCTGTCATGTCATAACTGGTAGTCACATTAAAAGTCTGTTGCCAATAAAATTTAGTACAACACAGTAATTTGCTGCATATCATCACCATATTCGATGCCTATATGCCTTGAAATTTGTACAGCTTCTTTGTGCTAACCCTGTATTTTGAAATTTTATCTCATGCCATATTGTACATCATACACCCATTTATATATATTTACATTTTAGGTATGACAAAAACCAAAATACCTGTGCAGCATATTACTCCTTCAAAATTTTCAGTACTTTGAAACAGTAAGTTATTCAAGACTTCCAGCAATGAACAAACTATGTCCAGCACAAATAAAGTTGCTGTAGGGAGGTTCAATTCAAATTATTTTCATTTAAACTACTGTTTAAAACGTGCAACTACGGACTGAGGAACCACTGTCATCAATGTAAATACACAAATGATCTGTATCACCACAAAGTACTTCTGAAGTAGTATATAATACTGTTGATATAGTATGTAAGTTTGGGGTACATTCAATTAGTTTCATAGTCCAAATCTAAATTACAGAAATACTTAATTTCTGAAGTGCTTCTTAATGTAAAGTTGTAGAATTATACTCTCTTTCCATAAAGTCATAACAGTAAATTTTGAAAAGAAACTTCTGGCCAGTACCAAAACTTACAAACAATGAACACAAATTATCAAACATTCTAAAACTGCTACAAGTCTAGAATCATTGTTTCATTGTTCTAGGTCCCTTAACAAATTACCAATTGAGAAATACATTTTTAAAAACAAAGCATATTTCAACATGTTCGCTATCAGAAACAAAAAGAAGTATAAACAAAACTCATAGTTACCAACTATAAGGTATAATATGCTACTGAAAATTATCTAAATAGGGAATTCAAAATGTTGGGACTTCATGAAACAGTGGAAGGATATGGGTGCTTCACACTTTGCTAACAAAGTCACAAAAACTCACCAATATGTGGGGAATTACTGTATACACATTATGGCATGAGAAATATTGAAAATAATTACAAACAATATCAAAATAACTTAAAATGGAATATTTTCTTGATCTACTTACAACTGAATGCAACAGAACATTATTAAGATACAGCAAGTAATAATGCTGTTCTTTCACATACTTATCCCAAATGATAAATTAATATTAAACCTTAGACATAATGCAAACTTACACGCTGACAGATTTCTTAATAGTGTTTTCTTTAAATCTTCTGGCAGCTTTTAAACAGATGTCCGTCAGGAAAGGTTACACCTTTTTAATAATGTAAGAGCAAAGCTGTGTTCAGTATTTATATCTTAAAAGATCATATATAACTTTATATTGCAATCAAGGATATTACATCAAGAATCTACATGCGTCTTTATTCATATATTATACTTGGTTGATGTAAAAAGAATATAAATATGTGTAACTTTCATGTTCTGAGCATTATACTCTAAACAAAATAATTCTTATTACTGGCATCATCAGTAAATCAAACCTGAAAACCCATTCATTCAGATCTATACATATGAATTAAGTTCTACTGGTCAGAAAATGTATACCCATGGATAATTATAAATTAAATGTATTTCCTGAATTGTAGTCTTATGCAAGTGCTTGGTTTGTAATTGTTTTGTAGTCTCCCTCCACCTGCAATTACTGGAATGCAACTCATTTAAGAAACAAAGTTCTAAACGTGTGTCAACTTCACTGATGCACTGATGTGATATGCAGCTTCAAAGCACAAATATTTTTACTCATTCTATAGGTGTCAATCTATTAATTAGTCCTAAACATATTTATCAAAACAGTTAATCATTAATTTCTGTCATTTACTCAGAGCATTAATATTTATCCTTCCATATGTACTACATGACTAATGAACTTAAGAGTCATTATGCTAGACACAAATATTCCATACTACAGTGTGTACACATCTTTTTGGGACACCTGCACAACTGGAAGATGTTGAAATAAAAAGATACATGAAATGTTAAATTATTTTCAAAATATGAGATTTTGTTCTGTGGCAATTCTATTCAAGTAATTTTTCTGCTGATTACATCACTTTAGGAGATAATTTTGTCATCTTTAAAGAAATTATACTATCTGTAACAACAATAATTTGTAGACATACCTGGACACTCCTAGTGTACATGCCAGTTTTTCTTTTTCTTTGTCCTAATATGACTACCAATCTTAAAGTCTTGGCCTGACTCATACAAAAGCTGTTCTATCAACAAAAATGGCTTCTTAGAGCATAAGAAAAACATATATTAAAAACAAAAAAGTACTTAGAATATATTAATATAAGAAAGTGTCAGTGGATAAAATTAGACGATGTGGAACCTTAGACTTTGTACTCCTCACATAACACTGTTACAGTAATCAAATCAAGATGAGATGGGTGAAACATGCAGCATGAATGGGGAAGATGACAAATTCAAACATTATAGTCAGAAAACACAATGGAATACATAACTTCAGAGTAATTATTATAAATAGAAGGAAAAAAATTAGAATGTCTTAGATAAATAGTTTGACTGTATGGACTGGATTCAAATGGCTCAGGACACAATGGGCCTTTTCAAACATGCTAATGAACCTTCAAGATTAATAAAAATATGGAATTTCTTGACCAAGTAACCATTTCAAGGAAAACTTTGAATCACATGCACACAACTTTTAAATATATACTGAAATTAAGTACTTAAAGCAATGACCTAAAGCTATGCAGAAAGAACAATTACAATCCTTCACCTACAGAAACCTTTCAGAACAGGGAAATAAATCATGAATATTCTTTTCAAACTCCTTGAAAATTTCTGCATGAACAAAGAACCAGTATTCCTCCTCTATTTAATTGCTGTATGTTCTTGATAAATTTTGTTCCATCATACACCTATTTGGGGCATGTATTTGCCTTTTCAGACTTCTCCCTTACAATATTTTGCATACATTTTACTGAAATAAACCAGTGAACTTAGAAAACCAAAATCTGAATCTATTTACAATTTCCAATCAAAGACAGAATGTAGTAAGACAATAATAGGAATCTTAGTATCAAGACATACTGAAATTTTAATTTTAATTGTTTACCAGAAATATTTTGAAGTCATAACACTTATTTACGTTGGGTTGTCTGTGATTACAAAACCAATTTCTTACTATTAATGAATTTATAGTAAAAACTCAATTCAAATCAAGCACTTCACTCAAATACAGAATCTGGCAGAAAAGACTGACTAATGTTTCATGGAGTAAATAACATAAACTGACAATAATTAACAGAAAAAATTGTTGAGGACTGAAAAATCAGATCTTGGCAGCCGGTTCAAATCCCAAAACCATGAGATCAGATGATGCAGAAACATTTCATGCAACCTCTCCATACTCATTAAGTGATATGGAGCCATCTTGCTGTAACCACTGTTATATGTGTTCTGAACCAAATTCCTGTACATATCTACATACCTATGGCCTTGAAAACAACTTCATTCCTCACATTGTTGAATACTATTCAACACAAAAAAGCCAGTTTTCTCTGCTGGACCCTGTATTTGTAACTACTTATGGAAAAGCAACATGTTCCATGGGTCAACATACAAAATACTGCATACTTTAAAAATATCTGTAGTCATATATAAACTACAACAAATTGTTTAAATTACAAAACAGAGCGAGTTAAACAATATGTTCCAAAAGCAGAAATGTTACAGCTTAATATAACTAAAAAACTCTAGAATTTACAAGTGTTCATATATAAATACTGTATAGTAATCCCTAAAGCAGCAGTACGAAATTTGCCCCCTTCTTCAACGCAGTATAAATAGTTCATCATATATATATATCACACAAAATTCCCATTGCCCAATATTACAAAACTGCCTGTACCATCTAAGATATTTTAAGCTGGTGTGTTTTGGTAATCAACTTTAAATCATACTGTGGTTATAAAAAGGATTTTTAATTATAATGGAAACATTAGTCCCTTCTATAAGAGCATAACCAGGCCATTAAGGAATTAAAGAAACTAACCAAGCAGAAATGACAGACCCATGGGGCATTTTGAGGTGTTTGTAAAAGTACAAGTTTTTAACACAGACTTTCCTTCATTAGCCAGAGAAAATTCACAATGTATTCCACGTTTGGCTTGTCTAATGTACAAGTAAAAGAAAATCAAATATCACCATGACCATGCCTGAATATACCTATTAATTTTATCTACACATAAATATGGACTAAATTAGTCCTTTATTACTTGAAATCTGTATAGCCCAACATCTGCTTTGAAACCCAACAGCAAAAATTTTGCATTCCTCGTTAAACAGTCAAATAAACGACAATAATGTCTTACTTGTGTATATTTTTATTTATATTCTCAACTACAAATTGTAAAGAAAACCTGAACCAATTAAATTATATTGCATGAGTAACAGGAATTTTAGTCTCATACTTACACATCTCCTACAGTTTAATGGCAAAATGTATAACTACTGCACGCGAGCATCCGCAGATATCAGATGAGAAAGGAGAAACAAATTAGAAAAATTTTAACGTGGAGTGTGCTGAAGTCTATGTATATATTCCAATTTGGTAGTCACTTGCGCAAAGGAAAACTGCACGATTCCCCAGAATAAATTATACATCTTATACACATTATTGTTCATAAACTACAAGTCTGTTTTGGTACACACCAGGAATTTCAGAGTGAACCTCAATTAGAATTTACACTCTGACTTAAAGGGAAATTCATATTCACAGTCTCTGTTATAACAATTAGTGAAAACAGTATGTAATTTTAAAAATAAATACTATAAAATTACACAATCATATCACTGCAACTGAATGTCAAATCGAAAGCTGTAGGAAATCCAGTCACCCCCTTCAGTTCCTTATATGGTTGTGTATTTGGCTTAAAGAAATATGTCCACTTCAGATACAAGTACTTAGCAGGCACACACGCTTAGAAGTTTGTTACATCACTCTATCAAATCCAACGTACTCGATTTTCAAAAAACCTTAACTGGTGGTGTTATAAAATGTCAAAACAGTATTTTCTTTTGGTCATGACACTATTGTAGAACAAAAAGCCACAGGAACTGACTGCACCATCCCCACAAAGAACCGCTGAAATTAAATACCATATTTTCTGTGTAATTTCACTACAAACTTACGATATTGCGAAAAAGATTTTAATTTTCCTGAATTTCAGTGATGACAAGGCTGGTCATAGCCATAGGTGTGTGGTGTTTTGATATCATTTGAATTCAGGTTCAAATCCTATTTAGAGAATAATGCATGTATTACAGCCTTGCTCTCAGAATATAAACAGACCTTTACAGTTAGGATGTTCATACATATCTCCAGCTAATACCAGATCAGTGTGAAATTACCCACAGAATTAATATGGAATCACACAAGACAGAAAACCAAAGATGACAGTAACAAAATGTAATTTCCCACCCCATACATCTTAACCTTTACCATCTTTGTGTCATGTCTTAAATGCAGTCCAGCTTCATGTGTGTCACACTAACAAAATGCTAAACCATTAACCGTATACCAAAAACCCAGCTGGCAACCCTATAGTATGGGGGGTTTAAATTACCTTTTTCTGTGTGATGAAGGTTGACTGAGACCAAAAAATATTTAAATAGCAGCTGTTATACCATTTCATGACCACCGCTTAAAAATGATTTACAAGGTAAAATGTCAGAAAAACATGTAACTTACAAAATAGTCCAGTAAACATTATGATCTTTAACTAGGTAAGAATCTTTCCTGTCACATACAACTACTTTATGCAAATTATTAACAATGTATTTATTTTTGTACATATTATGGCAACATGTTTTAGCCATATATGGTCATCTTCAGGCTGACGCCAAAACGTACAGCAATATTACATTTTCAATAGTTTATGTGCTGCAAATATCACATCACATTTCTTCCTTGATGTATTTAAGAAGGTAATTTTGAAACCTTACATTGGGAGAAAGACTGCCCAGGTAATTCATTATCATTTCATGCTGATGACTCAACGCATCAGGCTCATGCTATTTGTGGAAATGATTATGAATGAAATAGGAAAACACAAACTGGTAATACTTTCTAATATACTTTTAAGAAACAGAAGTAAATAATAGACATATACTGCATCCATACTGTAATCTTGGTGAAGGACCACACACTTCCACCATTGCTCACTGTCCTGATGATGGAGGCAGCAAGGACCTCTGAAATGTTTGTAAACTTCTACCAGACTGCACAGTACAACCCAGAAGACAGCCATTTTCAGACTCACTGCCATGAAAACCTCAAATCCTACAGTTTATTATTAAATTTTGATGTCAGCTGAAACATGTTGCTATACTGCTGACATGAAGTGTAAAACAAATAGTGTTAATGATTTGCCTATACTTGTGTGATGGAAAAGATTCATATCTAGACAAACTAATTACGATTTTAGATTTCTAATCCAGCAAGTATTATATCATCATTCATTTTGTTAAAAGAAATGGTCATAAATAACAGAATATGGTATAAATATTACAATACATATACGTAATTCATTTTTACAACCTAACTGGGCATGTGATACGTGGCCTCATAACTTTTCTGCCATGAAAAGGTTCAGTTTTTTCTTGTAAAATTATTGCTAATGTTTCTACTTAAGAGAGCACAGCTATTTTATGTTCAGTGACATAAAATGATGCAACAAACTATAACAGCACACCTCCAGTACCAAGCATTTCATCAAGTAAAACCGTAAATGTAATAGTTTTAGCCGTAATTACACATACAAATAAGTCTTTGTCTTACATCTTGTTGTGTAGCACCAAAAATCAAGAATACTTTTTTAGTCGTTAAGACTGCATTACTGAACATCTTCAAGCAATGCTACACCAAATCTGACCTCCACTCCATTAAGTGACTGAAAACAGCGAGCTTCAATATGCGAGGTGTCTGATGGCATCAGTGTAAGTAGGATGTAATTGAAGGCATAATTTCTGTAACTGACACAACACTCTATTAATCTGTACATGCTTACATCACAAAAATCTCCCTTCCTCGTACTCACTCACAACATTGGATGGGATATTATTTGGTAAGGAAATAAAGCACAATGCATGCCTCCACTTTCTCTGGAATCTGTAAGATTTTCTTTATACAACAGTTTCTTTCAGACATTAAACATCAGCATACGCCATGATGAAGACTGCCGTATGGAGGTTTACGCATCTGAAACAACACAAGACTATATAAAAGATACTGAACACTTTCTCTTTCTTTATAATCCGAAAATGCAATGAACTTGTGAAAACAACAAAACTGAAAAGGTTTCCTTTGCAAACTGGAGACTTTCTTGTTGGACGAACAATGACTGCCCTAAATGATCTACAGCAGTTGTATCAATTTTATAAAACAATTTAACTTGTATGCAAAAACAAAAAGTAGATTAACATTAAAATCCAAAATTCAACATGTCATAATATTTTCTGGGCTAAATCTAACATTATTCCTACAGTAATTACATCTTATAATTTTGACTCTTTGGACATCCTGGAGTTGGTTTTTCTTCTAACTTACCGGGATCTGGAATATTTCTCCCACCAGCCCAATGTAAAAAGCTCATAAAAATATTTGCAAGACAAAATAAGCCAAGAGAACATAACACATGCACATTTATCAAACAAAAAAGTAAAACAAAACAACACTTTAATGCTTTTGTTGACAAAGTCAACAAGAAGCACTTTAATTTCAATCTCATCAAGCAAGAAAAAGACCAAGTACCTAAGCTAGTAACAGCAAACAATTAAACTGGTAAAGTAATCCCTGATGAGCACCACGTCATACACAAAAATGGGAAAGCGGAGGTAAAGCTCCACATATTTAAAGCCCCAGTACTAAATGAAGGTAAGTGGCTAGCTTCACACCCCAGTCACATCCCCCCACACCGTCAAGGAACGAGCCAATATGAACTGGACGGGAGGATGGGTGGGCCCTTAAGCTAGTCCAGAAATTGCAGCAAAAATCCTGCCATGCCAGGAATCAAACCATACTGATTTGGCTCTCCCAGCTATCCTGATAAAGGTGAGAGAACCAAAAACTGGAGAGGACAGAACGTCATCATGGTCTGCAACGTTTGTCTGTATAATATCTTTTAACCAAAATGTTCACTCACCTTCCATGTAATGATTATATTCTGTCATCATGATGTGTTTCATTTGGCTCTTGTCCATCTAGTACTTCACTGTCTAAATTATCTGCATTATTATTGGTAGCAACTGAGGAAGGAGCTGAATCATCATCTTCAACATCATCACCATCATCATCATCATCATCATCATCATTGTCTTGCTCATGGTTTGATACTGAAATTGTATTCTCTTGCTTCACTATTGTGATATCAGGATTATTTTCCAGAGTAGACGTTGCCAATATCTTTGGAGTCGAAGCCACTGGCATGGACATGGACAAAGACATTTCCTCGAAAGAATCGTCAGCATCCCTAGATTCATCAACACCTTCATCTCCTGAAGAAGAACCTCCACGACGTAATGTTGATAAATAGTTGGCCAATGTTGTAACAGTTACATTCAGCATTTCAGCTGCCCGGAATAATGTAATCTCCTTTCGCTGAACCTTGGCTAAAACATCTGCTGGGCCTGATTCAGACCAGAAGTCACGTACTCTGCCAAAAACACAACCTCCTTAAAGCACTGCCTTAAAATACTGAAGAAAGTGAAACAAGTATATACTTTCCTCAAAACACTACAAATGCAATAGTCCATGTTGAAAAGAAAAATTTCAGTTTTATTTTAACCTTTATTTCTGTAACTATAACTTCCAGATTACATACAGAAATGTTTCGGAAGAAGCTCAAGGAGTTTTACTGAAGCAATTTTAAACTATATTAAAGCACATTTATAAAGCAGTAAAGTAAACCTAGCATCAAGAACTATTTAACCACATAACTGCTAGAGAATAAAAATGTCAGTTGGTTACGTAGCATTTGACTGTCAGAATTCATATATACCGTCTATTTCATACCAGCATGTATGTATAGATTATATACACAAAGTTAGAGCATGAAGAAGCCTTGTACAACAGTCCTAAAAGCATGTTTGGACTTCAAAATATCATGTATTACAACACAGAAACATTCCCTGTTATGACTTATTTTGTTTTAGTACCCCAAGTAACTTCATAAGCTCCGCCTTACCTATAAGGATGTTTGAGGCAGCCATATGCATCCCGGTACCTGCCATAGAGTGTACCATATGAAACACCCAACAGTTCTGCACCTGCTTTCATTTCCAACTCCTTGCTCTTTATAGCTTCCATAATACGCCGTGTAAAAGGCTCCTCCCAAAACTGCTGTCTTCGTCCAGTGGTTAAATAATCATTCAGTTTAACTACATCTCTGTATTTATCTGCTACAAGCTGACTCATCACTGATGCTGAACCTGTGACGTAGAAGCACAAACAGATGTAACAAGACAATGTCACATACATATTGCGGTGTTGGTGACGGCATGTGCCCACACCTTCCTGCATCTTCTTTGGTCGATTTATAACAAAGAAAATAGCCTTGTAAATCTATGTATGTTGCTCATGTACATATATAAATGTGTATGTGGGAGGAGGGCTCTGCATATAAATTTGTCCATTTTGATGTAAGAACATTAATATCACTTAATAAAAGATATTTATAAAACAGAACTGTTAAAAGTATATAACTCACATTAATATAGAGCAAAAAAATAGCACAATATTTCATTTGATAATTCCAAATTTATACATTTTGTTACAGAAATAAATTACATCTTCAAACTTGACAGGTTTTGCAAAGTTTGGAGATAAAAAAGCAGTTTCTTTCATGACCTCAAGAATACAACTTAGACTAAATGCTTCTGACATAATTTAGGTCAAAACTGTTGTTACATTGGTTTATTGACTAGTTGGGCAACTCTAAACTCCTCAAGAACAAGTCTACTCCACTGAGTTACTAACCTAACACCAGTCATGTACAGCCATCACTACACCAACCCGCTCAATTTGATGAATTATATAAATTTATATAGATAAAATAAATAATTCAGCATAAGAACACATACTTGCCTTCAAAGACTGGTGTCCCAGGGAGATTATCCCCTTCTGTCATCTCATTATAGTTAGCTTCCTGCAAAATTACATCACACACCACATCACAAGTCAAATGCAAAAATGAAGAACAAATGATATGGGCCATACTTAAGAAGTTCATGCACTCTCTCTCTCTCTCTCTTAAAATACATCTTTCCACAGAGTTGAAAATACATCAGAAATTCTGTGGCAAAATCTCTAAATGCTGAAGAACAATATAATACAAAAATTTAACATGCCAAAATACCCTGATTTTTGAGTCAGAATAGTGAAAGTAACAAGCAAATATGTCATGTGTATAATGTCCATGTAGTAATTTTTAATTTATCATGAAAATAAATTAGCAAATATATTACATATTACCATCATACAACATGTGAATTCTTACACTGCTAAGTGAAACTTTTTTTATATCACCGTCTCAAAACTCTCTCATATAAAAATGAGACATGTCTTTTATTCTGTTGATAAATTTCTACAGTTTAATGAGGATTCATTATCCTTTAAGGGTTATTTTATTTATATAGTCTGCTGAACAGCAATGGATTTAGTGTAACATTTTAATATTTTCAGGTTAAAACTTTACTGTTTGTAAAATGTAATTAATATTTTAAATTGTACTCTTTTGTATATCTTGAATTTTATGACACAGTCCACAGCTTGTAATTTGTCTAACCTCTGGATCCATGGTATGGCAAGTAAGTATGTAGGTAAGCTGGCATTTTTTTATTATATATATATATTTACATACACATACATATTTATACTTTTTTAAGTGGGCGACATGTTGGAACTGAACCTGACCCTAGGCTATTCCATACCACACATCTCCAATGTATTTTCAGCTTCAGCATTAAATGACGACAAATGAGTCTGCATGCAACTACTTACTGTAGGTAGCGGGTTAGCAGGAGGCTGATGTGAGGTAGCTTCAGCACTGTCACAGGCAATTACTTCTGGTTCAGATTCATACCATCCTGACAACTCATTCTCCGCATCCGATGTACTACCACCTTCCTGATGAAGCAAACATTTTAGATAAGTATCATCTTACATTCTCTCATTACATACGCATGGCAAAATATTGTATTTATATGACTATAACCCATGTGCATATACAGTAGGGCCCCGCTTTTCGGCGATCCGCTAATACAGCACTTTTCAATCGCGTGCATATGCCCCACACGCTCTACAGCTGAGTCAGAGAAGTGCGTCCGGCGCCATTTTCTCGTCGCTGATTCAGTCTGTTTACAGCTACTACTGATATTCATTTTACTTTCATATCATTTTCTTAGGCCTAGCACTATTGTGCACTTACTATATGATAGTGTAAACATCTTATTAGGCTTTGATATACATTTGCAATTGAAAAAAAGGCAAAGATCCGCTTTTCGGCGATTTTCGCTTTGCAGCGGGGATCTGGTCCCTAACCTGCTGTATATGCGGTGCCCTACCGTATACGGTGCACTTTGATATTAAGAAGAAAACATAAAACAGTGTGACCCGCCAAAATTGACAGGAATAAACACTTCTTTGTGCTGGACAGTAACACAAATTACTACAGCATTCTCTTTGCAAATTGCAATGAAGTATAAAATGAATGAAATTTCTTTACAAAGTAAATTAACCCTTCAGCATGGTTTCACATACAAGATATATAGGGCATTTGAACAATTCTACCTGCGATACCACATATGCCATACATCCAGCTGCAAGCTGCACTTCTATGGCCTCTTCTGACAAAACTAACAATCACAAGGAGATGTGGTTCAAAACTGACCTGGGATAAAGGATCTAAATTTTTTGTATGTGCAGTGGTAACCTTGGAAAAGGTTGTGACCTACCAGCCGAACAAAGACAACAAAGCTTCTACCACGGTCAACATAGCTGGGCCTTCAAGATGTCAAGCACTTCCAGATTTGGCACAAAGAAAAGAGCGCTTTTAGGTGAAATTTTAGATGATAAAATTATTGCATACAGATCAAACGAAGATAAGTTTTATGCATCTGTGAACCACAGTTCAATACTAGTGACCTGAACATTCTTTAAGTTATTGAAATGTTTTCTGATACAGTTCTTATGCAGAATATACAAGAAGAGACTAACAGATTGCAAAAAGTGTCACTCCCTTCGCATTTCAACCCAGGCTCAGAAAATGAGATACACGTTTTTGCCCTCTGGAAATTCTACAGAAGCCAGAATCTACACTAAATCAACAACCACCTGCTCTTCATACCTTTCTTTTCTGAAAAGCTACCCGCGGAAAGACAAACTCACTGACCAATTTCTATATTTCATCGATAATTCCACAGCAAGTGAATACCAAAGCCCTGACAAACTTTTTGAAATTTGTAAGATTTGAGGTTTTCACAGCAGTGAGTATGAAGATTTCTGTCTTTTGGGTTGTCGCGCCGTGTAGTCTGGTCGATGCTAACCAATGTTTCAGAGGTCATACTGCCTCCGTCATCAGGCATCGCCCTGATGACTGAGACAGTATGACCTCTGAAACGTTGGTTAGCATCGACCAGACTACATGGCGCAACAACCCAGAAGACAGAAATCTTCTTTTCTGAAATTTATCAAATCATTCAACACTTGAACAAAAAATATAAAAATTTGTACCTTCCAAACCAGGACATTGTTAAAGATGAGTCTTTGACTCTTGGAAAGGCTCTCTCTCTTTCAAGTAGCATATACTTATGAAAGCTGCCAAGTTTGGGATAAAATCTTCTGAGTTGTGTGAACTGAACACAGGATGTATCTGGTCTTCTTATAATTTATACAGGGCAAGGGATGGAACTGACCAGCGAGTTTGTGAATTCTGAAACAAAACTGCAGCACTAGTGATCAAGGTTGTGAAGGCTCTCTTGGGTCATCGTCAGACACTCTGGATGAACAATTTTTATAATTCTCCAGAATTCCCATATTTGATGAAGTCAAAGAAAACAGATTGTGTTGGAACCCTACATATAAATAGAAAAAACATTCCTCCCTTGGTGAAAACCAGAAACATGAAAAAGGGAGGATGGTTTGGTCAGTGCTCGGGGGACGTAGGAGTTCTGATCTCGCGCGATAAGAAGTGACCATGATCTCCACATACCATGCAGATGAGGTGTGTGTCCGTAAGCAGAAGCGAGGAAGTCGTAAAGCCTGCCGTGTCTGACTACAACACCCACACGGGTGGGGTTGACCTAAAAGATCAGATGCTGCAACCTACTGGAATAAAAGAAAGGTTCCAAGCGGTATGTAAAATTATTCAAGAGGCTACTCAATGTTACCATTCACAAAGCAATGGTAATACATCGGTTTCTGTCAGCAAATAAAAAAACTGACCACTCACATTCAGCCTGCATTTTATCAATGGACTCTGAAAAACACAGGCCTGGAGATCCTCATTCTATATACGGGCACCCTTCTATTGAACCACCTTCTAACAGACTAATGGCACATCACTTTCAGGATCAGAGTCCTGCCTGCAGAAGGAAATCTAAACCTCGACAGTGCGTAATGAGTTCACAACACAGCAAGAGGAAGAAATTCATCCACTGGTGCCCTGATTGTGAAGACTGGTCTATTTGAATGGTTCTTTCAGGATTTACCACACAAATATCCACTTCTAATCTGATCCCTGTTGACCCATATGTGCATCTAACACACTATTAGAAAGGTAAGATTATAAAATTCATTACAAATCTAATGAACTTGAATTTTGAACTGGCAAAACTTACTATGAAGACTTCTTCAGTTCCTCCTGCACCTGTTACACTTGCCACCTTAGGACTGAAACTGGATACATCAGATTCCATTGGTGGACGTCCCCTTCTCCGTTTGACTGGGGGCTCCAAATCTGAACCATTTCCTAAAGATTCCACATGGGAAACTTGGGGATCTACACAATTCATTCCATCCTCTTTGGGAGGTGCAGTTGGTTGTCCTTCCTGTCGCCACGATACTTCAGCTAGTCCTTTAATACGGAGATCCTCTGCAGTCTTTAGCAAGGATGCCAGATGTGACTAAAATCATTAATACATTTTCATAAAAATTAAATTGCACACATAAGGGAAATTAATAAAAATAACGTAAACATCATGAACATGGCAGAAATGATTTCAAGATTTTGGTGTGTAAAATCTGCAGCAATTTACAACTATGGAAACAAAGCAGTGGTAGGAAGGACTACAGAAAAAATAATGTTCTTAAATACCACATAATAATTACACTCAGTTCCCACCTACATCAGCACTACATAGTACATAACAATAATAAAGAGGGGCATTTATGCTATCAATCATTATGTGATTTAAATTAAACTATGCTAGTTTTTAAATATATACCACTTACATGATCAATATTAATTTCTCCTTTGTACATGAACTGAACAAGTGCTTTGATGTCAGTAAACTTGACATCTTTCAGGATTACAATTGGATTATTCTCTTCATACTGCGAGAAAATTGCATCAAAGTAAGTACTGCACGCTGATAACACCACCTACAAAATTACATGAATTGGAATATAACAAATCAGTTAAAAGTCTTTATGTATCTTACCTCACACTAATTATACATCACAAAATTTATTGAGCAAAGCAAACCACTCTACAATGGTAGTAACACAAGAATTCAAAAATACAAAAGCACAAAACCATGCCTAAACCATAAACATAGGAGCCAGGGTAGCTTAGTCAGTACAATGACTGACTACGGACTGGATGACCGGGGTTTGATCCCTGACGAGGGTAGAGGATTTTTCCTCTTAGCCTCTATGTCCAGACTGGCTCTGGGGCCTACCCAGCCTATCCAATGGGTACTGGTGTCCCTTCCCGGGGGTAAAGCATAGCTGGCTTACCCCCATCTAATGCTGAGGTTAAGAATGTGTAGGAGTTATACCTCCCCACCCCCAAGTACCTACATGGTGTATGATGGGACAGCTTTACTTTACTTAAACCATAAACATAACTATTCTGGGCATTACCCATCAGCTAGTTTTATTCCAAGCACAACATTTCAGTAACTTGATGTTTCCATCTTTTTGAAAGAGGAATGGTCCCTTTCAACAAACCAGGCTCAATCAATAGCTATTTCAAACAAGCTGAATCTTTCCTCCCTCCCCTTTTTTTATACCTGAAGACAGAAACATATCCAGTTTCCATAATGTTGTGTTTGGAAAAAACCAAGATGGTGGATTATGAATGTCCAGAATAAGTCATATTTATTAACATATCCTCAATAGAACACACTGCTGGCATTCATTTCCTTATGTTATTGGAGAAGATACAGTCAAAATAAAGGAGGTTAAGTTACTGGAAAAAATAAACAGTAATTGCTACTGACACCTAGGCCTTGCTGAAAAGATATTTAAAGGTATTACGCTGTAAGAACAGAATACAGCAATCAAACGGCAAAGGAAGACTGTTGAACAAGAAAGTTCAATATAATATACAGATTTCCGTAAATTATTTAAATCAGTGTGATTACACACTTAATGACATGAAGAAAGAAATTTTAATGTTCCTGCTCAATATATGTATTAGAAACAAACAAACAAACAAACAAACACTGAAGCTAATGATTTGCAAAAAAAATAACAGAAAATGCAGAGAGACTTAATCTGTACTGTTTTTAAAACAACATACAGGATCAATTATTATTTCCTGCATTCACAATTACCCAGTCTCCAAAAATGAGTAAATATGTGGCTTCAAAATAACTGGCATTGTGCAGGTTAAACGAAGCCATATTACAAAACAATTTTTGAAGAATGGTCAACAGTTAGAAAAATGTTAATGGAAATAACTTAAGCCAGTTATACAAAGGACATACCAAGTCATGAGCACAATTAATGTACAATGAAGAAATGCACATGAATAAAAAACATACTGACAATAAATATCTGACATGCAGTTATCAATTTTCTACAAAATCTCCTGAACGACCCACACATTTCTGTCAGTGCTGACAAGCTTACAAATCCTGCCATGGTAGAAATCCATTACATCAACTTCAACCAGCTACAAACAGCTCCCTCAACAGTCATCATTCTTTAGTGCTGGTCTCTCATGTGCTCGTTTAAGACCCTCAAAATGCGATAGTCTGTGGGAGCCAAGTCCAGACTGTCTGGTGGATGCAGGAGCACATCCCAGGAATTCTTTGTAATTATCTGTTACCAGATATACAGCATTAGGCCCTGTGATGCCACATTGAAGAATGACAGTATTTGTCATTGGCTGCTTGACACTGCAGTTTTTTCAGCATCTGAACACAGTAAGTCAACCACTATACATCACTCAGCATCCCAGAAAGCAGTTCTCCTAACTTTTCTGGCCAAAGGTACAGTTCCGGCTTTCTTCTTTTTTAATGTCATGCAATGCCGTTCCATGCTGTCGTTGGTGGGGGAGGGGGGGGTGTCAAAACAGTAAAAACAGTTTTCATCACCAGTGACAATGCTGAACAGCAAGTCATCACCAACAGCAGCATGTCATCAAACAATTGTGATAAAACATCCATGTACATCTTTTCATGTTTTGTAATCAATCAGAGAACCCAACAGGAACAAAGTTTCTGATACCCCAAAGCCACAATTATCTCGACCACCTTGCGTACAGCATGGTGCCCTATGCCAAACTGTTCTGAAATTTCCCTAACCATCAAACTTTGGTCTTGTTTGATGAGCATGTCAACCTTCTGCTCATTGCGTTCGGCTGTGGCACTTCTCAGTCGACAGCAGTGCAGCACATCAGCAATGTCCACACTTTCATCTGTAAGTGTGTAACCCACAGTGGAGAACGGAAAAAACTAGCAGCGTCCATGCACCAGACGTGTGTTCATACTGGACAGGACATTGTCACTACTGATTTTACACACTGTGTTCTACTACATGTGGCACAAATATGTAATCTGACTATGATCATGACTTTTGGTATGCCCCTTATATCTCTGAAACTACTATAAATAAAATATGGTGTAAACTTAACTGTCATATCAAGTACTTAATACCACAAACAAAACTAAAATAAACACATGTTACACAAATTACATAGATTTATGTAATATTCACAAGGCCTATAATTCTGACATTATATAAAATCACTTTATGTGGCAATAGTCAAGTAAAAAAATATTTAACAGCTTCTCTGAACAGATGCTTTCAGGATGCCTTCTTCAAGACCCTACTGATAAGCTGTTTGTTTGCATGCATTTATCTGTCCATCCCCATGATCCAATTTCAGACATTTATTTATATTACAGACACTACCTGCCTGATATTTCAAACTTGTTATGAGAACACCAGCATCTGCAAATGTTGGGTCAGTGCTCACCTTATGTGCTCTAAGAGTTTTTCCTTCACAAGCGAGTGTTACATCACAGAAACTCTCCCTCTCCAACAGCTGACTAAACATCACTTGCAGGTTATTATGGTGGTATTTCCATCGAAGACAATATTGCTGGGGTAACATCTTTTGTTGAGAATTCATCTTGCCTGAAACTGTATTATTTCTACCTGATGCTCCTGTGTTGACTTCTGTACCACACAGGGGCCAATAATCTGTCTCACCCTGATGTGAAGAATCGTAACCCGCTGTCTCGTCGTCTTCAATACTCAACAAAGTATTTGGATTGAGAAGAGCTTCTTCCAAAACATCTGCCTGCAACATCACATTGCACATAAAGCAACTGCAGTTCTTTGTACACAGTAAAAATTCTTGTTTACTATATGGTAAACATAAGTGTAAGTGCTGTGAACACTATTTTAGTATTGTACTCACATAATTATTCAAATTCTTATACAAGAGAGTATTTTTTTTTAATACACACAACAAAATCCTCTATTACATACCACTCATGTTAATAACATATAACATCTAATAGTTATACAAAATGTTAGCACTTAAAATAATTTGCAATCTTGGGTCTTTTCCATCATCTTTGTTTAAAAGAAAAACCACAACATTTCAAAAACCGGCTCCATTTCCATCTTCAAGCGAGAGGGAAGGTGACTACTCAGTTGGGTCCGTCAGAAAGAGCTAGTCTTTATCACTGGTCCAGTCCGTCATCAACATCAGCAGAAGACAACAGATGCAAAATATACTTTATATTGTACACTTTATTACAAAGTACCTAACCTGATACAATCCTTAAAATTCCTGTTTCTCAATTTTCAGTCACATTTCTTTATCATTTCAGGAATTCAATTCAAACAGATTTCATCTCAAAATCATCAATAAAGTGAACTACCAGCCCTACAAAACCAGTACAATAAGTAGTAACACATATATTTTATGCATTTCATCATCTCATTATACTTATAGTATTCCTCGTGAATGACTGGGAACAACTTTTCAAAACTGTCATGTTTTACACAATAAATGAAGTGTCAACTAACAGTACATTGCAATACCTTCTTCCAGATACAATACCTCCAAACCTATCTCACAAATGCCCAGAGACAAAAATGATAAATAAATGGAATACTCGACTAGCCTACATGGGAGTGACAGTAATGTGCACCACCACATGATGACGTGCCTATGCACATATGATGAATCATTCACCCTCTTCTTTTTATTCTACATTTCAGCCACAGTGGAAACAACTTTCCCAGTAATTAGTTACGCAATTTTACCGTTTTCTTTGCAGCTAGCGAGCATGACTGAGCTACACAACTCCTTATTTTTTCTGCATTCTTCTTTATGGTGCGTATGCTCGACTCATTCACACTATATAAACGTCCGAGTGACGCAGCAGTCTCCCCACTTTCAAGTCGTTGAATAATATCAAACTTAGTTTCTAGAGTTAGTGATGTCCTGGGTTTCTTCATGTAGGCATCCATACTGTGCCTAAATAGAAGAAATGAGTTCACGGGTAAGCGACTTATCGTCATGAAACTATTTGCTCCTGGTGGCTGTTACACGCATCTGGTGTTGGTAATGCAAGTTGACAAGTAACGTATATATGCCCTCCATCATGTCTCTTCGCCACACCAATATTGAATCACACAATCCAACCCTGATTTAAAAGCATTAAATCAAACCATAACGCATGTCAGAATTACTAGTAGTCAAAATACACAGCTATAACAAATTCATGTAATAAAAAACTAAGATATTGTATGTTTTACTATCCAGTGTTTGTAAATATGGCATTCAATCCACTAATCAAAGTCATGACAATCATATGAAAATCATTAACACAATCTGTGAAAAAAATGAAGTTACTGACTGTTAAAGCAGGAACTATATATAGTTACCACTGGGCTAAGCATAATTAGTCTCTAAAGAACTGAAACCAAGCTAGTCAGCCATTCATATCTAAGTGAAACAGTGCAATTATTCTTAACCTTTAAGTTGTGTTAAGTTAAGAAATAAAAAAGTAATAACAATCTGTAGCCACTATGTCATATTTTGCAACGTAATAAATCATAAAAGTATCTTACAAAATCTAATATCATGTTTGTTATTCATCAAATTAACCAACCTACAATCTACACTTCTTAGTTCAATGATAAAGTTACATGTTTGATTGTTTTAGTACTTTCAAATGCAAATCACATGTTATAACAAACTACTATCTACAGTACCTCTGAAAACATACAATCTTGATTAAATTTGTTGTCTTTCTATAACACAAAATTAATTAGCACTCTTTTTTTGTTCACTTTGAGTAAAAACAGTCACCCCTAAAATGTTCTTCCTATCTTGTAACTCACACATACTTCAAAACATAGTACAATTTTAAAATATGATCCTCCTTTTATCATTATCATCATTATACATCAGAATATGAAACAATTATTCAATATGGTAGCCACTTACATGTGAATCTTTACATGGTACCTTCCACCAAACTTCTAAAAAATATTTATTTTATTTAAGAATATTAGACTGAACACAAAATCAATACAAAGTAAATTAAAACCAGTGTAACCCCAACTATCACCAAAATCAGAACAAACTCATACAAAAAAAAACCAATCACAACAAAAGTTAAAAATAATAAATTTAAAATCTTGACAATCCACACATAAAAATATTATACAACACACTACTTCACACATACTTTCCAACAATAAATCCTAGAAACACAAAATTGGCTAAAAATGTTCTTTAGATGAACAAGTCTGTGCCCTATGTCATATTACACCACTAACTTTAAAGAAAATAATAATAATAATAATAATTTGAAGTTTCAGCAATCTTAAAACAAAAACAGGATACAGTAAACTTATTTTCTAAAATTACACAGTCCTTTTTAACAAATTCAAAGCACATATATGGTCAAAATTCTCCATACTTTACAGAGCCAAGTATGTACCTATGTCACAATTCACTGCCTTATAAACCCTAAACCCCAATTGCACTTGACAAAAATCACCATTACAAACAAGCTGATCTTCATTACATGTGTAATATAAATATGACTGGACAATTAAATGAATGAACAGAAATGTGAATACCGACTTCAACAGCAGCTGAATCACAGCACCACATACCATGTTAATAATATGATGTAGGAATGTATTTCATATTTACTTTACAAATACTAGCAAGAATAATATTCTTAATTCTAAACACTTACACAGAATAAACTCCAAAGTCACCGGAAAAACGGTTACCTGTTTACATTTATGGCAACAAACATGGAAACAGCTTTTAACAATCTCCTATATCTGATACAACCCACACCACAATTCTATTAGACGACGTTATTACTGTAATAACCACTTTAATAATTTTAGACGCAAGTTTCTTTAATCACTGACAGTCCACAAAATGTACATTACACACCATGCACAAAACAATATGTGAAACAAATCCCCCTTACCAAAATGTTGCACGAATGCCCTTCGTTACAACATCGTTCTCGATATCAATTTTGGATCAAAAACGAAAATGGCGTATGCCCTATCATTTGGGAAATTCCTATGACATCAACTGTAGATTTGGCCCGGTAACCTAGGTTGGCCTACTTACTGGATGGACTGAAACGAAATATTCTACCCATTACGAACGCAGAACGCTGGCAGTAAACCGCTACACTTACCTCTTCATTGAATACTATCTTTTTGGTCTGTAATAGTACGTGACCCTCCTTTGACTGGCCTGCAACACTTTCCTGATGTTGACGTTGTAGCCAAATATGTCTTTTTCCTTTGTAATGGGCCTTTACATCGTTCAATCCTCCGTGACTCACAGCAAATACTTTTTTGCATAGCAAGCAATACGCTTTGTGCTTTTCACCTTTCACAGGAGTCAGCCACGAAGAAAATTGATCAGCCGTCGTCCAACCCGAAATAAATTTGCACAGACGCCGTCTCTCGCGTCTCGCCATGTTTGTTAATTAATGTTGGAGGGAGTTTGCGCTTTTAACTTTTTTTGAGCTATATTTTTATTTAAATTTTGAAATTGTTCAACACACTTTATTCAGAACCTCCCTTCCAATGCCTTATTAAAAAATCATGCAATCCATACGCTGTACACGATACTTTACCGCACAAAAAATCAAACCTGGTACTTCCAGCCTCACCTATTTTTTTTCTAAAATTATCCCTGTACAAGCTACCACCCCCCTTCAAAATTCTATGGATAGCTACCATCTTGTTTTAGAAACTAACAAATTGTTGTATATTACATTACTGCATTCAATTGTAGGAAATATGGTTTGCCATTTGCATCTAAAACTGTACTTCGTGTTTGTACCGTGACAAGAAAGCTGAGATTCTAGTCGGTCATTCACCTTGAATTATAACTACACTTTTCCGGTGTCGGAATCTCATTCAGCAAGAACATGTAACATATGAATACAGTCTTCGATGAAGAATGTTTTCATTACGTTAATTGATACATATTAATATACTATCTCACATTTGAAACTGACTTTTTATTTCATCTATTAACAACTATTTGAAGCATTGTACACGTTAGCTCCTACTCATAAAAACCGAATAAATGTAGTTAATATTTAATCATAATAATGAAATAAAAAGTTTATAATTTTTCTTACGGCAAACTGCATGTTATAACTTAATCACATCTTACAAATTTTCATTAAAGGGAAATTGAATTACAATATGTGGTACTTAAGTTCCGTAAGAATTTCGTATTCCGGGAGCTACATCACAGTAGATAATTTCTCTTTGGAAATGTGTTGAAATGGAAAGCAGTCACAGAGTGGTGTACGTCAAATCAATTTAAAGGACACAAGTGCATCATCAACCTATATAACCTCACTTTGAATGAAAGACAATCAAAAACTAGCCGGAATTTGTAATAAATGTTTTCATCTTAAAACATTAGTCTGATACCATTAATCAGCTTCGGTTTACAGAATGGTGAGAGTTGATTATTCAAAATGTAGGATGTTTAATAACATTAAATAAGGCAAGGCAAAAGTCACTAGGAAATAAAAGATTCGTTTGGAGGGGTCTAATGTTGAACTTGATTTACCTTTGTGTAATTGAGGCCTAGGATACGTTTAAGAATGTCAAATGCATTGCACATCCATTTGATTAATCTGAATGTATGAAGTATTGGAGGGGGAGGGGTTCAAACAAGGGGCAACTTTCAGCTTTTCGTATTCGAATTTTGATGCGAAATGAGAAAACCATTATTTATGGACCCTCACAGTCCAAGATTGATTAGATATATGATGAACTAATTCAGTTGAGGTATTTGTTAAAATTTTGGCATAAGACTTGATAGCATGGTTAGGAAATGATAACAGTTCAGGTCTTCAAATACTCATTAAGAGTGATGCTAGTCAGTTTCGTTATTTAAGTTATCTCTTAAAACTGCCCTCCTTTCAGTTACCTGCAACACATTTTCCCAATTGCTGCTACTTTTAAGTAATGGGGCCTCATGTAATAAAAAGTGCAAGTTTTCATACACAATTACTGTTGTATGTTTAAAGAGGTTTTCATCTAGAGAAGCCAAGGGACATTACAACGGCCTTAGCCACAGGGTTCAGTTATGAATTTTGAGTGAGGCACTTATAATTGCTTTGTTAATGTATGTGTAAACCCAGTTTAATATAGCTGTCAATGAACTGGGTAAATTTAATGTAATTTAAATGGATGTAGGTGACTGGTTTTGTGAGATTTCAGGTTCTCACAGCAGCAAGTTTGAAGATGGTTGATGATGGAGACAGCAGGCACCTCTGAAATGTTCATTAAATTCTACCATACTACATCTCAGTGTTCTATTCTAGAAATGAAATGAAGAAGTGCTGTACCATGTTTTATCTGTTACAGGATGTAGCAGCATTTTCTGATGATAATTTTGAAGTAAAGAACTGGATTAATAAAACATTCAAGTCTGCTGAGGCACAGGAGAATAGAGATGTAAATGCTATTTATCAGTTTAAGAACTTAGTATGTATTCCTGAAATGGTAAATATTGGTTAGAACAACTCATTTGCCTTAATAACAGCGCATTTTAAGAGCTGAATTTAAATTTTGTAGATGACAGCCCAGAGACTAGTTGGTTCATTGAACCCTTTTTACTCAAATCAAAACATGTAACATAATGGACACTCCATGGAAAATAACGAAAGTTGTGCGTGTTCAGATTGTTCATATTCCATACTGTTAGCAAATGTAATGTTCCCTTGATAATATGATAAAAGCCTTTATCGTTCTGTTTACCAGTATGGTATGCTGTTGTTTCCATATCAAAACACAAAGGGCGAATTACATGGTTCTAATTGTATAATATTGCTTTTTTGTTTAGGCATTTGTGTCATCGCTTGTTATGAAGTTACAATTATATGTGCAGCAAGTGAACAGTGCATTGGAAGACACAAGTCAACAGGTATTATAATTAGAAAGCATCTTTGTCTTTTCACAAACTTATACCAGGGTGATGCATTTGGGTATGGATAATATGAAAAAACAGTTTTGCAATTCAGTATTTAGCACACTTTGTCAACAAAGATGAGAAATAGTGATTTGGCTATTCTAGGCCTAATGCTCCATCCTCCAAGATTTTCTGTAATTAATCATACAAAATGTGGATTATACAACTTTTTTAGATTAAATTCTTAGTAGTGTTGTGTAAAATGTATGGAGGAATAATGATGATTTACAGGTACTTCAGAGCCTGCCTCGAGTAATGAGAGACACTGAAATACTTCATCAGGAAGCGTTACTGCTGCGTGACAAAATGCATTCAGTAAAGCAGGAAATTGCTAAGGTATAAAGACAATACCTATAGATATGTTAACTGGGCATGGCATCAAATCAGATGCATATTCATTGATAACATGTACAAGCTGAATGTGTGATATGTGAAAAGAAACATAAGAAATCAGTTTTTGATAAATTCTTTCTTTCTTATGATTTAACACACAAGGGAGAAAGAAGAAATGCATATAGTTTAGTAGAAGCTTACCAATGTTGAGAGGTGCCTCTATCATCAAGGCAGTTGTAGGATTTGAGGTTTTCACAGCGTTGAGTCTGAAGATTGCCGTCTTCTGGGTTATTGCGCCGTGTAGTCTGGTAGATTTCCAACAGCGTTTCAGAAGCCATACTGCCACCATCATTAGGGCGATGAATGTGCCAATCGAGCTGAAAGGGCTGGGTTTATAGGGTAGAGACGGTAACAGGAGCCTGATCCTAACCACTGAGAGCAGGTGTCAAGCCAGTTGCCCTGATAATGAAACACTGGTAAACTTCTATCAGGCTACACAGCACAACCTAGAAGACATCCATCTGTTTTTAACATTGTTTAATGGCCAGACACTATATATACATGCACTGCAGTAATAGCAATAATACGAGTTCCATTTTTATGTGCAGTAACTGAAGGATGAATTTTAATATTTTAACTATTATTATTATAGTAAGTTAATACAGGAACATACCACTACAACACTGTATAATATCAGTTGACAGTACAAGAGGTTCTTTCACAGTGGCTACTCACACAACATATTTTGTTTTTGATGTGCTGTTTTAGGTTGAGCAAGACACAGCACAATCCATGAAAACCCTAGAGCGAATTGACAGAATAAAAACAGAATTACAAGCTGCAAAAGAAGCTTTGCATGAGGCAGATAACTGGACTGTGCTTGCTACAGATCTGGAAGAAGTAAATAGTACTCAAATATATATCTCACTTTAAGATAGGGCTCCAGTTCATCCAGGTTTTGTTCTCCAGAAAATATAATTTCTCCTGCATATACTTCAGAAACACATGAATAGTGTTCAGTTTCTCATATGAGAAGTAATTTAGAAAAAATGTTCTGTCTAACAAGGCATGCTTCGTAGGATTTGAGGTTTACATAGCGGTGAGTCTGAAGAGTCTTCTGGGTTGTTGTGCCATGTAGTCTGGTCCTTGCTGCCTCCATCATCAAGGCAGTGGAGGCAGCAAGGACCTCTGAAATGTCACTAAACTGATACCAGACTACATGGCACATCTACCCACAAGACAGCCATCTTCAAGGCATGCTTCCAAAACATGCATTTAAAAACTTGATGAATATACATAGTAGCATGAAGTTAACTGAACTGCTTCTAGAAAATGAAGTGATTATAACCTACTTAATGACCAAAGTGCAATCAAGATCATTCAAACATTGAAGTAATTTCTTAGCTTCCAAAGTGCACTAGTAAATAGTAAGAAATGTTGATCTGGAATGATTGCTTTGTTTTTGTTGGCAGGTATTTGAATCTGGTGATATTCAAAGCATTTCTGCAAAACTTGTGAGCATGCAGCAGTCTTTACGGATTTTAGCTAATGTTCCAGACTATGAAGACAGGCATCTTCAGTTAGAAGGCTTAAAGAATAGGCTAGAAGCTATGGCAAGTCCATTGCTAGTTCAGGCCTTTACTTCTGCATCCATTGGTGAGTGTCTTAATTCTCACTCATTTGAATGAGTCTGATTTAATCCTTTTTTATTCATTATCCAAGTTTCACTGAGCCAGGATAGTTCTGTTAGTATAGTGACTAGGCTACAGGCTGCATGACAGGTTCAATTCCTGGGAAGGAAAGATTTTTCTGAAGATGGCTGTTGGGGCCTGCCCAGTCCCTTTTCCTTGGGGGTTCTATGGCTGGATATGAAGCTAATAATTCACCTCCATCTACTGGTTTTAATTTAAGATTGAACACCTATAACTTACTGCTAGGCCTGGGTTAATTAAAATCACGTATTGGCTCTCATGTTTCTACAGAATACCCCTGATACAGGGGGCATGTTATCTTGATGTATTTCATACTGCCCTTTCCGTATGTATGAAAAAATAAATTTCCAGAACAATCACGGGTGTTTGTGAAGGTCTTCACAGCAATAGACCGCCTCCCGCAGCTGCTCAAGTATTACCACAAGTGTCAGAAAGGTGTATTAATGCAACAGTGGCGAAATCTGGTGGAGATGGAACAGGATGAAGGAATTGCTGAATGGATGCATAAATTCTATGACACACTTCTTTCCAACTGGCATGATCAGGTTTGTTTTTTCAGTACCAGAATTTAGAATGCCTATGGAAATATGAACATTTTCCTTCAAGTATAATGTACCCTGGATTGTCAACTAAAACAGGCATCTGTACTAATAATTTGTGAAGAAAATTATGACTTATTTACACATCGTGTATTTATGCAGCCAAATGTCACTACATTTTACTGCTTGTATAGGCAGAAATGTTTTCTTGCACATACTGTAGAACTATATTGCTGCTGAATTTTTGTTTAACAGGTTAAATGGTGCTGTCAGGTGTTTACATCTGTATCAGTAGCTAACATACTTATTGAACTATATGCAGAGACACTGACAAGCCTGGATCCCAGTTTCAGTGTATGTATTGATGCAGCACTGAAGCAGCAGTCAGATCAGTTAACTTTCCTATTGAAACTTCAACAGATCACCAAGCACTTTGCAATGAACTTGCAGGTTGCAGTTGATTCTGCCAGTCAGGGTATGTGTAATAAGTGGTACTACATTTTATAATACTGTCCACATTTCTTTTCCCCCCACAGAATTTTGTGCATTATCTTCCCCTCTTCCTACTACTTATGCTTGGATTTTATACAGCCATCTTCATACTCAATGCCATGAGAAACTGAAAGCTCACCAAATCTGGTGACTTCCAAGCGTCCATTCATGAAAACAGCCAGTGTTTTAGTTAAGATCACTGATCTAAAATGTCCTAGAAAAAGGGTGTACTAATAATGTTTCTTATTTCAGGTAAACCAATTAATAAGGAAGGACTCTTATCGCTGGTTCAGGCTGTGTATTCTCCTTATGTAGCTTATATATCAAAATATGCACAGTATGCGCAGGCATATCTGTCACAGAAATTGTTAATCCTGGAATGTAGTAAAGCTGATCTAATGGACACAATACAGAGTTTGGGTCAGTCCATACCACGAGCCATTTCAATAGCGGTTGAGGCTAATAAGATGTGCTTGCTGTTCACGGAGGGGTGTGGCTATTCTGGCCTCATCAAGGCTCTAAAAGTAAGCACAAATAATTGCACGCCTGATTATATACTGAAGAGCATGACAAAATTTTTCTTTGGACAAGGAATTTTTTGCCACCAGTGTTTTATATTTTAATGACTAACATATTTCAGTACTCAATAAACTAAATATTTTTAAATGTGTCTGTAAGCAGTAATAAGAAATTCATGCATATTAATGTCTTATAAAATAACAGTATTCTAATGTGAGACAACAAATGAACTATACATTTACTTACATTATGTCTTATCTGGCTTCATGTCGTGATGCACGTGTCTTGTCTTGGAAATGAAGTACCATTAGTCCACAGTAACTGAAGGATCAAATTCCATTACTGATGGTCCATTCATTTTTCACATCAGATCATTTAAACATGCAATGATGATCTGTTTTTATGTTTAACAACATTCATTAAACTAAATCCTACTTCACAACACACAATGGCATGTGAGGCACGTAAATTACATGCACCAGTCTTCCTTGAACTATCTCCTCCCTTCTGTTTGAAGCCGGAATGATGAAGGGATTTCTGCCAACACTTTTGTCAGTTCCATTTCCTGCTGCCACATTAACATCAACCTGTTCGGTTTCACTTTGTAAGAAAGATTGTTCATTTTATGTTTCTAACAGAACAGCAAATAAATTTTGTCAGACACATTTGCTTTTTATTTTTTTGTCTCCCAGCTGTTGCTGTATGTTTCAAATCACAACACTCTTTAAGATAAATGTTAATGTTATCCTCCCATGTACACCTTCTTCTCTCTATAGGTATACATCAACAACTACTTGGACCAGTATCGTCACGTTCTTCACCGGCTTGAACAGCAGAAAGGTGACAGAGAAGACTGGAATATGTTTCAGATGTGCCTCACTCTCCTTCAAAATGTTGGCAAGTGTTATGAACTGTTATTTTTACTGTAATCTATCAAGTGGTTCCTTCTATAAAATATTAAATCTAGTTCCTGTGTCCTGTGCACACAAATACTGCAATGTAAATGTAAAAAGCTGGTAGAGAAAACAAAAGAAATCATGGGCATGTTCTTGCATCACAGATCCTGCATGATTTTGGTGAGAATCAAAGCCGGGTCCACAAAGAGGACGCCACTTTTGTAGTCATTAAGTCATCTGCAGTTGTTGGACACAGAAACACTCGGCGTATGGCCCAAGGCCAAGATTTTGTGGCAACAATTTTAAACTTTCAGGTTTTACTACTCATAAACATTTGATGAACCAAAGTGTTTGATTTCAGGAGAACTATTGAACCAACTAAAGCAGCTAGACCGAGATGTGACTCACAGTTTACTAGATGTGTCACGCAAGTTGAACAGTCAGGATGGAAGCAAGGAAGTAAATTCCTTCATCCAGTTTAAGAAACTGCTCTTGTCTTCTGCAGGACAAAAAGAGTTTGACATTTTGGTCAGCAGTATCCAAGAAGGTATGACTCTGTGCTTTGTTGGACATTTATCAATATCATGGAAGAGTTCAGTTAAGATGCATGAAAAGAAACTAAATGAACCAGCAGTTGTAGGTAATCCAAACACATTATTATGATCTGAAAATTTTATCGAAAAAATTTGTGTATCAATTCAGTAAAGTTTCAGAGTTTATAACCAAATCAGTTGCTGATGGTAAACTGACATTTACAAGGTACATTTCATCGCATTTCTCACAAATGGCTCATCATATATATATATATATATAAAGAAAGGAAACACATGCATACATGTCTACATCCACAAATATAAAATAATATCTCCTTAACTTTCATGCATTCATCCAAAAATTTGGTATTTAGCAAGATAAACAGGAACACGACCTTTTAACTATCACACACTAGAATGCTAATCACTATACCATTGGCAGTTTCTCCAACCACCACCAATAAACTTAAAAAAAATTATGTCAACACGACAACCCATCACCTGAAGATGAGTAGAGCCAGCTTCCGAATTAATTAACTACACCTCGGACAACGAGCAGTGGCCAACACAGTATTGATACAAAGGAGTCACACCTACACAGGAGAATTATATTGCCCTACAGAAATGACAACAGGCTTAATTATCTTACAAAAGCAGGTTCTAACTTAAAAAATCTGACACAAATGTAAGGGTGACGCCTACACACTAACACAGTTTTAAAATAGAAACTTATTGTGGCCATGAGTCTGAAAAGGCCTCCTTTCCAAAATGACAGTCTCTCTTTTCTTTCCTAAATTTCAGACATGGCATCATACTTTCATTGTTTTAACACCATGTTTCTAGTAACACTAGGCAGTGGGGGCAAGAGAGCAGTGTGCTGCCAAGGCCACATCCAGTTAGACCTTTTGGGAATAGACTCAGTATAAAAAACACCATTGCTTTTTGTGATTTAGTTTACATCCAAATCCTGTATCTACCCTTTGAATTTTGTTTTATGAATTATATCCTATGGTAACATTAAAAAGGCTGATAATAAAAAAATTTAAACAGTTACAACTGTGTTGGCATTGAAAATCAGATCCATTATGCCTAGTACTGCAAGGAAATTAATGTACTTATTCCAATAAATGGCAAACGTATGAAGGCCAGATGCCTTTACTAGCAAGTTTTACATGACAGCAACTTCTGAGTAGGCAGAGCACTTCCTATCAAATTTCTGCTATAAGTGTAAAGAAGTGGAAGGAAAAAATGCCACTTGGAAAGAATGTTCTTCTAGACACGTCTTCATTTGAAATATTTTCAATGTTTTGGTGCGTACACTTCACCCTTACATTTCTACTACGTGTTTCAGTCATGAATGAAAGGTCAAATTTTATCACTAGTGACCTGAAATGTTCTTTTATTCCATGTGTGTTCACAGGAGAAGAGACTTTGCTGGAGGAGCACATAACTCAGTCACTGAACAAGTTGTGCAGTGATGTACATCATACAACATTCCAAGTTATCTTTGTTCCCATTTCTGTGCAATTAGAACAAGTTCAATCTGCACCTGCTTGGAGCAATGCTAATAAACAAGCAGCGACTGTTGCAGCAGATCTACCTGATTTCAGCTTTGCACCACAAGAATATATTACACAGGTGAAGTTATGATGATTATCTGTAATGAGCTTAAAAACTTACAAAACAATTATTTTACAAATTGCTTTTATGATTGTGAAATGTGGTCTCTCTTACTCTGAATTGAAAACATTTTAAACCAAACCAGAAAATGAAAAATGAGGATATTACACAATACAAATTTTAACATCAAACAAAAACTTTGCTATTAAAGGAAACATAATCACTATTCACACTGAGAATTTTACACAACCCATTAAAAAAAAGTTACTAATTGTTAATGCAGCTGGCACGTAACTGTAGACTTTAAAGGTTTAACCTTCAAATGGGGAACTCCACATGCCAACCTCTGATGTAAATCATCAGATCTATCCATCTGTTCCCCTGATATGTGATTTATCAAGATGACCTTTAAATGTGTAAGACCTATAGTAATTTGATTGATTGGTGGATTTATAATCTTGTTCATCTGCACTGGTTATTTACTGAAATCAACATATCACACACACACACAGAATCCAAACACATTACACATAAAACATAACCTACATTTTGTTAGTGACAATTCCCTTACATCAGATATAATAATTATACTATTTCATATATGAAAACGAGAAATTAATACAGAATATACTGAAGAACCTGAAGGGAAGAGACCACTTTGGAAGCATCAGTATAGATGGGATGATTAAAATGTAAATAAGTAGTGTGAGAGGATGTGAATGGAAGTTGTCAGGCTCGGGACATCTCGAGTACCTGAGACACAATATCTTCTCAGAAAGGACTCCACTGTTGAATTAGTTAATGGTATATTTCAAGACCAAGAAACCTCCCACACGGGAGGAGGCCAAGGCCCGATATGGGATGCAGAGCCATTGGATGGAAGGATGGATACTACACTTAATTTCTGAAAACAGAATGCACCATGTGAAAATGAGGAAGGCTTTAAGGGACTCATCCTGCCCCTTGAAATTCTGGCACAGGAAAATTTCTTTATTGGTGTCAGTTAAATTTTATGTACCATATGTAATATCTTACTTCTCACTGTAGATCGGCCAATACTTAATGACACTTCCACAACACCTGGAGCCATTCCTACTGCAAGATAATCCGTCTCTAACACTGGCTCTGCAAGTAGCTGATGTTGAGTATGGGTTGCTGTCCGCAGAAGCGGAAGGTGGCTTTGCAGGTGTATTACTTGGTATCATTGCTAGAGGAACATGCCAGACGTACTGCGACAACATCCTTGGTATCTGTGAATTGGGATCTAGTTCTTGTAAACAGCTAGCTACAGATATTGGTGAGTCAAATATTCATGTCCATTGGTTTATACTGAAACTTCTCTACGCTGTTTCGAAATATTAAAAGCACAGGTAAAGTGGTCTCTGGCACTTAACAAAGCATCATACCATGCACATGTACGGAGGAGTGGAGGTACAGCTCTACACATTCTTAACCTTGGTTCTAGATGGAGGTGAGTGGTCAGTTTCACACTCTGGTCACTTTACTCCCCCCCAGGAAAGAACCCCAGTACCTACTGGAGAAGAGGTTGGGTAGGCCCCAGAGCCAGTCTTGATGTTGTGATGAGGAAGAAAATCTTACCCTACCATGAAATGACAGTCTGTCCAGCCATATATTCCACTTCCCAAACCTCTAACATATTTTGACAAAATTTGGTGCGAATTCTATACATAATGTTGGGTGAACTACATTCTTAATTTGTAGCAGTTTATAACACCTACTGTACATGGTGCTCAAACTGAAGTAAATGAAATTCCTCTAAAATGGTTCAGTGGAGAAGAGGAACAAGAAAAAAGTATATGACCTACTTTATTACGATTGTTCAGTACAGCACGCAACTTCTGCTAAGCAAATGAGTCATCAAGTCATTTAGCACCTTGTAGCTTCACCAGGAACTTATCAAATAACACATTAATCAGTCTGAACTATGAGTAAGGCAGAATAGACTGAATATAAAGGATATGGTAGTTACTAATTAATACATAAAAGACTGCATCACCATCGCAGTTGTAACAGGTCCTCTGGAAGATCAATTTAAGTTAAGACTCTGAAAAATGGGACTGATATTATATAAGATCTGTACTTCAATTTGAAATGTTTTAATTTGGCATATATAAATACAGGGAAATGGGGCTATGAAAAGAAAGCATAAATCTTATCTAACTCTTGTTTTAAGAAAATGGCATTATCCTTTTTCAGATTATCTAGGCAATGTCTTGGAAGATTTGGGGTTATCACTGTCAGAACACCTGCAGCAAGTGTCAACATTACTCAGACTGTCACCTCAAGAATACCAAACAAAGAGCTCTGGGTGTTCTCCACGTCTTGTAGCAGCTGTGAGGCAGATGCGAAATATTACCTCATCAGGATGAACTAATGATATCTTACACATCATTGATGTATCACAAAAATTCATCAGACTACCAATTTTGGTATGGTAGGACCATGCTATTTCTTGGGGTTGTGAGTTAAATCCTCTCTCCCTGAAATGTCTGAATCATATGAAGAGAGTATTGCTCTTTTGCAACCAAATTTAGTTGTAGGCAATATTTTATATAAAAGGACCAATATTCATGTAAATGTGACAGTTGGTTTGTTAATCTGTATAGTAGATTCAGTTTTTGTGAAATGATTTTTTAAAAGAGTTGTTCTTATTGCTGCTTCCATGAAAATCATCCTTGTGAAAATGATTTACAGATCAACTGCACAAACCACCAAACTTCCTCATTCCAATACAAATAATAAACTGGTCAGATGCACACATGTACGCGCAACATTTAAATGTGTATATACAATATAATCCTTTTTCAGGCGCATTAATTTTCCTACCATTTCAGTGCTTTTGTTATGACATTGCATGTGCACATGTGGTAATGCTGTGTGAACTTAAAGAATGATACCAACATTTCAGAGGAACATGCTGCTTCCATCTCCAGCCCTGAAGATGAAGGCAGTATGTTACTCCAAAAATATCAGTATCTACCTACAAGTCCATGTGGTATTATTACCCAGACGACCATCATCAACTACATCTACCAAGTGAACAGTACATCAGCAGAAAGATACAAGCTTTTGAATAATCAATTATGGAAAAAGGTCAATTTCTTCCTTCAGTTCCTTCTAAAATGTCATATTCAAGTTCAGTTATAAATACATATTTTTATGGAATTCCTGAACAATAAATAACAAATTTATGAAGCTTAATTGTCATGATTGTCAACTCCCAAGTCAATTCTGATCCATCCTCCAACTGAATATAATGTTTAATTAATATTCATGCCATCTAGACAAATGCTTACCTCTTTATCCTGTATTTCTCACAACATGTTCTTATTGTCACTCGGGTGCCCACAGTTTGAATGTGCGGTCATATGAAGCTGTAGCAATGAACTGCGAGTCAGGTGAAATGTCCACACACATTACTTTACCATCATGCCCAGATAAAGTTTTCAGTGGCTGCCATGTTTTATTGGACCATACCTGAGAAAGTGAAAACATGTTAAAGTTGAAAATTAACAAAAAAAAGTAGGACACAATGCAGTCTCAAAACAACCACTGACATACCATAATTATACAATGTTAGATGAAGGCAGACAGTATCTGGTAAAGTAACTTTAGTGAGACAGGAAAGGGGTGAAATCATTATAGAATAATACAAGGTTTCGCTGTAATTTGGTTACCCTAGCATATATATTTATTATAATAACAGTAAATATAGTATTAAAAATGAAATTATGAAGTGGTGGCAGTTTGAGAGATTAACTGAACGTGGTATTGGTCATCAAGAGATTACCAATATCGAAACATATCTGATACCTTTGCCGTGTTGTCATATGATGATGTCACAACAAAATTGCCTTCTTGACACTGGTACTTCACTTGTGAGATAAGATTCATATGGGCTGGAATTGTGTAGAGACATGCTCTTCGACGTAGGTCCCAAATTTTACAGGTATGATCTTCACTTCCTGTAGCTATGTGGTATCTGAAACATGCAATGTGCACCACAGATACTGTAAGTTAGGCAGAACTTCAAATCTAATACATAATATTATATGGTTGGTTTGTAGGTTATTTATTGATACTGTATTAATCACAGAGGTAATTTAGTGTTGGATAGCACAAAGTAGTGGAAAGAATGAAGCTTCATTACTTAAATCTCCATTCTGTTTAATCATGTTATTGCAACAATGTTGACTGACACCTCAACTGCAGTGATTATACTATCATGAAACAAACCAATCATGATGATAATAATAATAAAATAAAAAAATAAAAAAACCAAACCAAACCTGAATTACAATACGGCATTTCCTTCACTACACTGTAATTGTATTACCATGATACATATGGTGAACTGGAATTAGGTAGTAACATTTCTCTCACATTGCATGTAATAGTTATACTATAATTTCCTGTCTGTGAGAACAGGGTGTACCACTTGAGGGTTAGGTTGGCAATATGGAACAAGAATCTTTATAAGACACAATTTATCATACTCTGTTGGCAATCACCAATGTCAGAGAGACACTACACTTAACACCTTTGTTATGGAGACAATCATTTATTTACCCATTGGGAGAGAAGTCTATCCCATACAGCGACTTAAGATGACCTTCCATAAACATGACGCACCGTCCTGTACGCAAGTCCCACACTCTTCCAAAACCATCTAATCCCCTGCAAAAGAGAAATAGAAATTCATACTATAGACATAATGTAAGACACATGGATTATTCCTCATATTGTTTTCTCTCATTCAGTGTTCAACGTTCAACATCCCAGTTCAGTTAAGTCAATGAAAAAAATTCCCTCAACACCAGACTTAATTATTATATTAAGGTGTATTTAAAATCGTGTAG